GGCCATAAAGCAAGTCTCAGCAAATTCAAAAGAATTAGAATCATACCATGCAGCTTCTCAGACCATAAAGGAATGAAGCTGGAAATGAAAAACTCAGGAATCCCTAGAGCATATGCAAACACATGGAGATTGAACAACATGCTCCTGAATGAACAATGGGTCATAGAAGAAATCAAAAGAGAAATCAAAAACTTTCTGGAAGTAAATGAGGATAACAGCACAACATACCAAAACTTATGGGACGCAGCAAAAGCAGTGTTAAGAGGAAAGTTTATATCAATAGGTGCCTACATCAAGAAATTGGAAAGGCACCAAATAGATGAGCTTTCTATTCACCTCAAGGATCTAGAAAACCTACAGCAAACCAGACCCAAATCTAGTAGGAGAAGAGAAATAATTAAAATCAGAGAAGAAATCAACAGGATTGAATCCAGAAAAACATTCCAAAAATCAGCCAAACGAGGAGCTGGTTTTTTGAAAAAATAAACAAAATTGACACCCCATTGGCCCAACTAACTAAAAAAGAAGAGAAAAGACCCAAATCAATAAAATCAGAGATGAAAAAGGAAATGTAACAAGAGACACCACAGAAATAAAAAGAATCATCAGAAATTACTACAAGGACTTGTATGCCAGCAAACAGGGAAACCTATCAGAAATGGATAGATTCCTGGACACATGCAACCTACCTAAATTGAACCAGGAAGACATCGAAAACCTAAACAGACCCATAACTGAGACAGAAATTGAAACAGTAATAAAGGCCCTCCCAACAAAGAAAAGCCCAGGACCAGATGGATTCACTGCTGAATTCTACCAGACATTTAAAGAAGAACTAACTCCAATTCTTCTCAAACTATTCAGAACAATCGAAGAAGAGGGAATCCTCCCAAATTCTTTCTATGAAGCCAGCATCACCTTAATTCCTAAGCTGGAAAAAGATGCAGCATTGAAAGAGAACTACAGACCAATATCCCTGATGAACATAGATGCAAAAATCCTCAATAAAATTCTGGCCAATAGAATGCAACAACACATCAGAAAGATCATCCACCCAGACCAAGTGGGATTTATCCCTGGTATGCATGGATGGTTTAATGTGCGCAAGACAATCAATGTGATACACCACATTAACAGACTGCAGAAGAAAAACCATATGATTATCTCAATAGATGCCGAGAAAGCATTTGATAAAATACAACACCCGTTCATAATGAAAACTCTAAGCAAACTGGGTTTGGAAGGAACATTCCTCAATACAATCAAAGCAATCTATGAAAAACCCACAGCCAACATCCTATTGAATGGGGAAAAGTTGGAAGCATTTCCACTGAGATCTGGGACCAGACAGGGATGCCCACTCTCACCACTGCTATTCAATATAGTCCTGGAGGTTCTAGCCAGAGCTATTAGGCAAGAAAAAGAAATTAAGGGATACAAATTGGGAAGGAAGAACTCAAACTATCCCTCTTTGCAGATGACATGATTCTTTATTTAGGGGACCCAAAGAACTCTACTAAGAGACTATTGGAACTCATAGAAGAGTTTGGCAAAGTAGCAGGGTATAAAATCAATGCACAAAAATCAACAGCCTTTGTATACACAGACAATGCCATGGCTGAGGAAGAACTTCTAAGATCAATCCCATTCACAATAGCTACAAAAACAATCAAATACCTTGGAATAAACCTAACCAAGGACGTTAAAGATCTCTACGATGAAAATTACAAAACCTTAAAGAAAGAAATAGAAAAGGATACCAAAAAATGGAAAAATCTTCCATGCTCATGGATTGGAAGAATCAATATCATCAAAATGTCCATTCTCCCAAAAGCAATTTATAAATTCAATGCAATACCAATCAAGATACCGAAGACCTTCTTCTCAGATCTGGAAAAATTGGTGCTGAAATTTACATGGAGGCACAAGAGACCTCGAATATCTAAAGCAATCTTGTACAACAAAAACAAAGCCGGAGGCATCACAATACCAGATTTCAGGACATACTACAGGGCAGTTGTAATCAAAACAGCATGGTACTGGTACAGAAACAGATGGGTAGACCAATGGAACAGAATTGAAACACCAGAAATCAACCCAAGCATCTACAGCCAACTTATATTTGATCAAGGATCTAAAACTAATTCCTGGAGCAAGGACAGTCTATTCAATAAATGGTGCTGGGAAAATTGGATTTCCACGTGCAGAATCATGAAGCAAGACCCCTACCTTACACCTTACACAAAAATCCACTCAACATGGATTAAAGACCTAAATCTACGACCTGACACCATCAAGTTACTAGAGAACATTGGAGAAACCCTTCAAGATATTGGCACAGGCAAAGAATCTCTGGAAAAGACCCGGGAGGCACAGGCAGTCAAAGCCAAAATCAACTATTGGGATTGCATCAAATTGAGAAGTTTCTGTACTGCAAAAGAAACAGTCAGGAGAGTGAAGAGACAACCGACAGAATGGGAAAAAATATTTGCAAACTATGCAACAGATAAAGGGTTAATAACCAGAATCTACAAAGAGATCAAGAAACTCCACAAAAACAAAACCAACAACCCACTTAAGAGATGGGCCAAGGACCTCAATAGACATTTTTCAAAAGAGGAAATCCAAACGGCCAACAGGCACATGAAAAAATGTTCAAGGTCATTAGCAATCAGGGAAATGCAAATCAAAACCACAATGAGGTTCCACCTCACCCCGGTTAGAATGGCTCACATTCAGAAATCTACCAACAACAGATGCTGGCGAGGATGTGGGGAAAAAGGGACACTAACCCACTGTTGGTGGGAATGCAAACTGGTCAAGCCACTATGGAAGTCAGTCTGGAGATCCCTCAGAAACCTGAAGATAGCCCTACCATTCGACCCAGCCATCCCACTCCTTGGAATTTACCCAAAGGAATTTAAATTGGCAAACAAAAAAGAGGTCTGCACCCTAATGTTTATTGCAGCTCAATTCACAATAGCTAAGACCTGGAACCAACCTAAATGCCCATCAACGATAGACTGGATAAAGAAATTATGGGATATGTACTCTTTAGAATACTATCTCTGTGAGTGAGATCTCAGTGGAAAGAACAGGTCTTCAAAGAAGGAGGTACCTTTCTCTGAAGGGAGGAGAGAACCTCCACTTTGACTATGACCTTGTCTAAACAAGATAAGAGTCGGAGAACTCAGAGGGATTCCATAGCCTTGGAAACTCATGACTGGAGCATAGGGAGATTACTGATGCCATAGACAGGAGTGTCAATTGGTAAAGTCAACAACAGGAGTCACTGTGCACTTACTCCTCATGTAGGATCTCTGTCCTTAATGTGCTGTGCATTGAGATTTAATGCTATAACGAGTACTCAAACAATATATTTCACTTTGTGTTTCTATGGGGGTGCAAACTGTTGAAATCTTTACTTAATGCATACTAAACTGATCCTCTGTAAAAAAAAAAAAAAAGAAAAAAGAAATTATCAACTCCCAACTTGACTCTCACTGGGATTAAACATGACAATAGGTCTGATCTGATTTCATCATCATTTAAAAAAAATCATCTATTATTTTTCACTTTATGTTTATGTGTGGGAGCAAACTGTTGAAATCCTTACTTAATGTATACTAAGCTGATCTTCTGTATATTAAGATAATCGAAAATGAGTCTTGATGTGAATGGAAGGGGAGAGGGAGTGGGCAAGGGGAGGGTTGTGGGTGGGAGGGACGGTATGGGGGGCAAGCCATTGTAATCCATAAATCGTACTTTGGAAATTTATATTCATTAAATAAAAGTTAAAAAAAGACAAAACAAAAATGTATGCCACTGGAAATTGTAAATCAGATATATTCACAATAGCAAGAGAGATTAAAAATTTAAAATGAAAAAAAAATTACCTTCAAATAGGCAGAAGAAACAAAGGATAGGCAGTAGGACTTGATTATGTCTCAGGGATTTACCACAGAAAATGTATGCAAAAAACCCACCATCATCAAAGCAAACATATTCTACCATGCATGTCTAGGTTTTATTCTCCATTAGGTGATATGTTTTGGAAAATTTCATTCTAATAGCATTAGCACTTAACGACAGAGCACTAATCTTTCTAAAAATAAAATTTAGTATTTAGATTCTCAAAACTCACCAAACCAACTGGAAATGTCTAGTTGTAAAACAACAATGTTATGCTCAAGTCAGTTTCACATCATAAATGATAATCTATGACTAATGTCAGTAGGCAAATTCCAATTCTAAACACTACTGGAGATTGCCACTGTGATTTTCAACTGTGTTGACATTCATCTTATTGCTGAATTGTAGGCAAATTTCTTTGGCAACATTTACATATCAGTTAATGCCACAGGAAAAACTGTTACATTAATTTAGCATCTCAAAACTGCATTAGAATTACTTAAATACATTTTCTAATAGATTCTACAATAGGAAAGCCTCCAAACATGCCTATTAACAAAATCTGTTCAAAGAAAGCGAACTATTAAAGAATCAAGACACGTATCTCACATGAACTACTTAAATTTAATTGTATAAGTTACAGCTAAATTCACCAAATAATTTAAAAAATCCTTAAATAAAAGCTGATGTTTTTAAATAAATTTCTTTATAATTTACCTAACTTTATTATAATTCACAGCTATTTAGCCTGAATTTTAACATAAAATGTCTAAATCAATCTTCATGTGAGTTATTAAATGCAACTCAATATGCACTGCTTTCTTTAGAAAATATGTACTAAGCACCATCATGTACCAAGACTCACAAGCAATAACTCCAGCAATATATGTCATAATTCATCTTCAGAATAATTTTTGGGTTGCTTTAAATAAAGATTACACATCTGTGTGTGTGTCTGTGTGCATACACACCTGTTTAGGCATGTGTGTGTATATATATATTTATGTATATATCTTGAATGAGGAGGACATTATATGTAACAGTGATTCAAGTCAGAAACATAAAAATTTTATCAAAGATTAACTTACCTGGGTCAAATTGTTTTTTGAAGTCCTCACATCCATTTCTAGTGTTCTATGTGTCACTTCTTCTTGTTTCACTTCTTCTTTATGATATTGCTTTTCTTTTCTTCTTAACTGTTCCCTAGGTTTTTTACACAATATATCAGTATTGGTCTCTTTTTCTTGTTTTAGGTAAAAACATGCTTGTTTCAAAATTCATTTTATTAGAAATTAAAAGATTCATTGTATAATCTTATACTACCATGCAGCTTATACACTCTAATAAAATTTATGTTCTCAAATATCTTCTTATAACATTTCATTTAAATCTCTTCTTCAAAGGACAGAGTTGAAAGTTAGCTGTGAAAGCACATTCTTAAAACAAAAAAAAAATAGCACATTCTTGAGACTGGTATTGTGTAGTGTGTCAAGCTACCGCCTGTGATACTAACACCCCGTGTGGCCACAGGTTCCTCTCCCAGCAGATGTACTTCCTATCTAGCTCCTTGCTAATGGCCTGGGAAAGCAGCACAAGGTGACTCAAGTATTTCAATCTCTGCTGCCACCTACCTGGGAGACCTAGAAGAAGCTCCTAGCTCCTGGCTTCAGCCTGGCTCAATCCTGGCCATTGAGGCCACCCACAGTGAACCAGCAGCTCGCTCACTCGCTCGCTCTCTCTCACTCTTTCAAATAAATAAATAAATCTTTGTTATCAGAAATTACATTCTGATAATTGATAAGATTCTGTTACTTGCAACTGATAACTGTTATCAAGAAAGGAATTTCGAAATTATCCAGTAGAGTTATGAGTTGAAAATTACCTCTTCCTCATCCATTCATAATTACATCTCCATTAGGAAAGGTAATTTAGAATTAACCAATCTTTAATGAATTTTTAAAAAAAAGATTTATGCATTTATTTGAGAGGCAAAGTGATATATAGAGAGAAGAGACACACAGAGAGGTCTTCCATCTGCTGGTTTACTCTCCAAATGGCCACAACAGCAGGAGCTCAGAGGATATGAAGGGAGAAGCCAGGAACTTCTTCCTTATCTCCCATGTGGGGTGCAGAGCCCCAAGCACTTGGCACCTTCTAATGCTTTCTTAGGCCTTAAGCAGGCAGCTAGATCAGAAGTGGAGCACCCAGGACTTGGACCAGTACCCATACAGAATGCTGGTGCTACAGGCAGAGGCTTAACTTACTATGCAACAGTTCTGGCCCTTAATGAGTTATTTTTTATAAACACCTTTATATAGTTATTAGAACTACAGTTTCAACTTTATCAAATATTACACGTATCCTTAAAAATTATTTAGAGTGTAAGACAGCCTATAATTTATACATGCCTTTTACATGATACACACAGCTACTGATTAATATCATCCAAGGGTAAAGAGTATATGTGTCACTTCATATAATTGATATTTTTGGTAGTATTTTCAACTTAATGAATATTAAAATTCCATAAACAATTTCAAAAAATGACATTGTTAATTAAGCAAGGGTGCTACGTGCTTTCAACATAGAACATGAAACGAATTTTTGCATGTAAAAAAGAGAAATGTTCAAGAAACTAATCAGAGATTACTTTCCAGTTTTCTGTCATCCCATGCATGTTAAAATAAGTAAATTTCAAAGTCTTCAAAGGTTAAAAAAACTGTCAACTATATATCTGTTGATGGAAGTATAAGCTTATGTACTTTCTTGACAAAAATTTAGAAATATTAACCAAGCATTTAAAAAGGTTTCCTCAAATTTAGCCATAAAATCCATATTGAAGTATTTATTCAAAGTCAAGCACTTGGAATATAAAGAAATGTTTATATAGAAGATGTTTGTTGCAGCATGACTTATAATACAACAAAACATAAACTCAAAATACAATGTTCAAAACAAATCATGAAACTTCTATATGGTGTGCTTCTATGTAACTAAGATTACAATCTGAAGAAGATGTATTGAATTATTACAAGCATTCACACTTAAGAACTTGTACATTATTTGCAATTCTTGTGAATTTCACACTTCCTAAGAGTAAGAAGTTTCTACCCTGTAAAATCCCAGAATATCTCGGATGGTCAAAGATGAAAAATCCTCCACAAAATACCAGCTCATTGAATCCAACAACACATCAGAAAGATCATTCACCCAGACCAAGTAGGCTTTATCCCTGGTATGCAGGTATGGTTCAACATTTGCAAACCAATCAATGTGATACAACACATTAACAAATTGAAGAAAAAACACATTATTATCTCATCGGATTTAGAAAAAGCATATAATAAGATATAGCATTCTTTCATGATGAAAATCTTAAGCGAACTGAGTATAGAAGCAACACTCATCAATACAATCAAGACAAACTATGACAAACCCACAGTGAGCACATTATTGAATGAGTAGAAACTGGAGGCATTCCCCCTAAGATCTGGAACCAGACAGGAATGCCCAACTCTTACCACTGTCATTCCATATAATCATGGAAGCTTTAGCCAGAGCCACTAGGCAAGAAAATAAAACCAAAGGAATACAAATTGGGAAGGAAGAAGTCAAACTATTCCAATTTGCAGATGACATTCATATTTAGGGGATGCAAAAGACTCCACTAAGAGACTACCGAAACTCATAAAAGAGTTTGGTAAAGTGGAAGAATATCAAATTAACACACAAAAATCAAATCAATAGCTGATCTATACATAGACAATGCCATAACAGCTACAAAAATTCATACCTTCAAATAAATTTAACCAAGGATGTCAAAGATTTCTATGATGAAAATTACAAAACATTAGAAAGTGAAATAGAAGAAGACATAAAAAGTAGAAAAATCTTCGATGTTCATGGTTTGGAAGAATCAAAATCATGAAAATGTCTGTACTACCAAAAGCAATTTACAGATTCAATTCATTCCTAATCAAAATACCCATCAGATTTTTCTCAGATTTAAAATGATGCTAAAATACATAAGGAAACACTAGAGACCCTGAATAGCTAAAGCAATGTTAAACAATAAAAAAAAGCTGGAGGCATCACAATACCAGACCTCAAGATATACTATAGGGCAGATATAATATAAACACATTGGTGCTGGCACAAAAACAGATGTATAGACCAATGGCATAGAATAGAAACTCCAGAAATCAATCCATGCATCTACAATGAGCTTACTTTTGACAAAGAAGACAAAATCAATCCCTGAAGAAAGAACAGTCTCTTAAACAAATGGTGTTGGGGAAACTGGATCTCCTTATGCAGAAATATGAAATAAGACCCCTACTCTACACTTTACACAAAATTCCACTCAAAATGGATCAGGAGCTAAATCTATGTCTCAATCCCATCAAATTAATAAATAACATTGAGGAAACTCCATAGTATATTGGCATAGACAAAGATTTCTTCGAAAAGACCCCAGAAAAGCACAGGCAATCAAAGCCAAAACTGACAACCGGGATTGCATCAAACAGGGAAGCTTCTGTACTTAAAAAGTAACACTCAGCAAAGTGAAGAAGCTCCGACAGATTGAGAGAAATATTTGCAAATTATGCAACTGATAAAAGATTAATATCCTCAGTTTATAAAGAGCTCAAGAAACTCAATCACAACAAAACAAAAAATCCAGTTAAGAAATGGGCAAAGGACTTTAACAGGCATTTTTCAAGAGTGGGAATTCAAATGGGCAACAGGCACTTGAAAGAATGCTTAACATTCTTCATTTTGATTTATTTGAGGACCATAAATTTCATGGATTCCATACATACATATTTAGGAACATAGTGATTCTACCTACCCTCCATCCCACCCATACTCCCACTTGTCTTCCTCTTCCCCATCCTCTTTCCATTCTTATTTTTCACAAATATCTATTTTCAGTTAACAAACACATAAGATCAACCTTATACTAGTTAAAGAGTTCAACAAATAGTATGAAGGAATAAAAATTAGTATGAAGCACAGTACTGACCCAGTAGAGTCAGGCATTCATGGCTACAATTTATTTTATTTATTTTTTTTTGACAGGCAGAGTGGACAGTGAGAGAGAGAGACAGAGAGAAAGGTCTTCTTTTGCCGTTGGTTCACCCTCCAATGGCCGCAGCGCGCCGTGCTGATCCGAAGCCAAGAGCCAGGTGCTTCTCCTGGTCTCCCATGGGGTGCAGGGCCCAAGCACTTGGGCCATCCTCCACTACACTCCCTAGCCAAAGCAGAGAGCTGGCCTGGAAGAGGGGCAACTGAGACAGAATCCAGCACCCATACCAGGACTAGAACCTGGTGTGCCAGCGCTGCAAGGTGGAGGATTAGCCTGTGAGCCATGGCGCCGGCCCATGGCTACAATTTATTGGGTTAAAAAAGTTTTAAAAAATCAGTGAAATGCAAATCAAAACCACAATGAGTTTCACTCCAGTTAGAATGGCTCTCATACAGAAATCAACAACAATAAATGTTCACAAGGATGTGGGGGTAAAGGTACCCTAATCCACTGTTGGTGGGAATGTAAACTGGTGCACCTGCTGTAGAAGATAGCATGGAGATACTTCAGAAATCTCAATATAGACCTACCATATGATCCAGCCATCCCATTCCTGGGAATTTACCCAAATGTAAAGATATTGGCAAATGAAAGAATAACCTGTACACCATGTTTATTACAGCTCATATGAAATGAACCAAGATGTCCATCAACTGAAGACTGGGTAGAGAAATTATGCTATAAATACACTATGGAATAATATACTGGGGTAAAATGAAATAATTTCTTTTGTTACAAAATGGATGTAACTAGAAATGATTACTTAGAGTAAAAAGCTTATCTCAAAAAAGACAAATACCTGTGTTCTTTCTGATCTGTCATAACTAATAGAGTATGTAAAATGTAATCTATTGGGATGAAATTGACATTTTGAGATGTGATGATTTTGAACAGCTCGTCTTGAGTACTGAGGAGCAGTGTTTTTTGTTGTTGTTGTTCATACTATTTGTTGAACTCTTCACTTAGTGTATGGTTAACCTTGTGTGTATAAAGTTAACTGAAAATAGAAATTTGTTAAAAATAAGAATAGAAAGAGGAGAGGAAGGAGGAAGAATGGTGGGATTATGGGTGGAATATAAGGTAGGAAGAATTACTATGTTCCTGAATTTGTATACATGATGCATGATGTTTGTATTCCTTAAGTAAATCAAAATGAAAAAAGTTAAAGTCTTCAAAAACAGATGTTCCATTTCTGAGCCAATTCTGAATGAACCATCTTTTACCATAAAATATACATGAATTGAAGTTCTACAGATAATTTAAAGCACCAAGCATTGTTATACCTAGATATGTGCATAAAATTAAATTCACTATGCGTTCTGCTACATCATTTCTAGTAGTATAGATGGACTAAAAGCTTCTATGTTAAAATAAAAGAAAATCTCCTTGACTGCCACATTTTTTTGTCAAGTATCTTAACCTTACTGCAGTATTGATATAGTTGAGTATTCTCTTGTTTGGCTTGTAGACTACACTATTCTTTCCTATTTTCATTAAAAGTAGTCACCATTAACATTGCTTCACTGGAAAGTAAAGAATTCATAGATTTTACCTTTTAAGACGATCGAGCTCACTCAGATTGTTGTCATAAATCACTTGCAGTAGACTTCTAGTGAGTGAAAAGCCATTCTCAAACACTGGTCTAATCCCATACTCCATGGAAGTCACTTTTTCATTTTCATTTTTTATTTCCTTTATATGCAAGGCAGGGCAGCTATTTTAAAAAGATCATTAACATGGCAATGTTTTTTACTCTACTGGGAAAGATTAAAGAAGCACAATTTTGACAAAATTCTTATTCTTCCCCAACTTAATTCATTTACTAACTCAAAACAAGATAGGAAGTGATAACTACTTGTAAAGAAAGGTGTACAGGAAATTTAAAAAATTACATGAAAATTGGGTGAAAAGTAGTTTTGATACAAAAACTTTGAAATCCAGGATGAATAATTTTTTTTTTTGAAAGGCAGAGTGGACAGTGAGAGAGAAAGAGACAGAGAGAAAGGTCTTCCTTTGCCGTTGGTTCACCCTCCAATGGCCGCCGCGGCCGGCGCGCTGCGGCCGGCGCACCGCGCTGATCTGATGGCAGGAGCCAGGTACTTATCCTGGTCCCCCATGGGGTGCAGGGCCCAAGTACTTGGGCCATCCTCCACTGCACTCCCTGGCCACAGCAGAGAGCTGGCCTGGAAGAGGGGCAACCGGGACAGAATCCGGTGCCCCGACCGGGACTAGAACCCGGTGTACCGGTGCTGCAAGGCGGAGGATTAGCCTAGTGAGCCACGGCGCTGGCCAGGCTGAATAATTTTTATAACATGCATTTTATACACTTACTGAACACACCTTGTTATATCTTCTTTGGAAAACAGGTAAAAACACAATTATGATATAAGGTAATATGGAAGGGTTGATATTGGGAGGGTGGTGTTTCACCTATTCGTTAATAAGCAGGGGGCTGGCGCTGTGGCATAGTGGGAAGAGCACTGCCTGCAGTGTTGGCATCCCGTATGGGTGCCAATTTGAGTCCCTGCTGTTCCACTTCTGATCCAGCTCTCTGCTGTGCTCTGGGAAGGAAGCAGAAGATGGACCAAGTCTTTGGGCCTGTGTACCTCCTTGGAAACCCGAAGGAAATTCCTGGCTCCTGGTTTCAAATCAGTGCAGCTCTAGCCACTGTGGCCATTTGAGGAGTGAACCAGCAGATGGAAGACCGCTCTCTGTCTCCCTTTCTCTGTCACTCTGTAACTCTGCCCTTTAATAATAAATCTTTATATATGTGTATATAAACATATATATATATGTTTATACATATATAAACATACAGGGTAAGACATTCTTGTCCCATATCAAAGTGCCTGGATTTGAATCCTGGATTCACTATCAATTCCAGCTTTATAATATACTGGGAAACACCAGAAGATTGGTCCAAGTAGTTTAATCCCTGCCACTTTTATGCAAGACATGGTTTGGGTTGCTGACTATGGGCTTAAGCCTGGCTCAGTTATGGCCACTGAGGGAATTTATGGGGTGTATTAGAAGAGGGGAGTTATCTCTGACTGCTTCAGATTCTTTTTTAAAAATATTTATTTATTTATTATTTGAAAGGCAGAGTTACAGAGAGGCAGAGAGAGAAAAGTCTTCCATCCACTGATTCATTCCCCAAATGGCTGCAATGGTGAGAGCTAGGCTGATCTGAACCCAGGAGCCAGAAGCTGATTCCAGGTCTCCCACACAAGTGCAGGGACCCAAGGACTTGGGCCATCTTCTACTGCCTTCCCATGCCATAGCAGAGAGCTGGATCAGAAGTGGAGCAGTCGAGATTCAAATCAGCACCCATATATGATGCCAGCACCTCAGGCAACGGCTTCAGTAGCTACGCCAGAGTGCCAGCCCCTGTTTCAGACTCTTAAATAAAAAAGTGTTGATATTGGAAACTGATATCTGAGCACAGGAAAGCTTTACAAAGGAGGTAAAAAAAAAAGGAAAAAGAACTCATGAGGGAAAAATGTGGATGAAAACCATTTTATTTACAGAATGTGCAAACAAAGAGTAGGCATATGATATCTGATATATTTCTTTGGAATTTGCAAGAAAAATATAAAATACCTAAATCTATCATTGAGAGATGAGGCCTACACTAATTTTGAATGCTACACTAAAATATAGAGGTCCACAGTCTGTAAGCATAATATTCAGGTTTGGAAGTAGCAGTTATAATTGTGCTATATTTTTGTTTTTTTGTGAAATATAATAATGCCAACCTTAGATGAAAATTTAACATTTAATTTTTTAATTTACTTTGACAGGCAGAGAGGCTGATGGAGTAGGAGGAGGGAGGGAGGAAGGAGCAGAAGAAGGGAGAGGGATCACCTATCCTCTGGGCCAGGGTGAAGTCAGGAGTCCAGAAATCAATCCTTGTTTCCTGCCTGGGTGCATGGACCCAAGTACTGGAGCCATCATCTGTTGATTTCCAGGATATTATATTTTATTATATAAGGTATAATAAAACATATATGTATATATAATAAAACATATATACATACACACATAAATGTAGACTACTAGAGTCGAAAGATTACAAATGTATATAATTGCCAACTAAAATAAATAGAATGAACCCAGATAAAATCAATTTTTGAGTATTATTCTAATGTCTAAAAAAACTCAAAGGATAAGCTGCATTCACTCAAGTAATAAAAAATTATTGAGTAGCTGCTCACTGCATGCATGTTAGGGCCTCTTCTATGTACAAAAGATATGGTAGTGAAAAGACAAAATCCAACACAAAAGAGTAAAGCAAAAACATTAGCAATGAACAAGCTATATAAAAACAAAATACAGTATGTTAGAGGAAGAGAACAAAAGCAGAGAAACGATGTTTTCCATGTTTAAGGGAGGTGTGGACATATTAGAAGGCCAAAGAAGATCTTGCTTAGGAAGAAAAACATTGAAGGAAGGAAAGGAATCAGCCAGGTGGACATCTAAGGAAGAATCTTCAAACACAGAAGGAGCCCAGGTATGTTTAAGGAATAGTGAAAATTTCTGTAGCATAAGTAGAATGAAGGAGATGGAAAATCACAAATTGAAATCACAGCGGTAAGGAGGAGTGAGGTCACAACATGTATTGCCTTGTAGGCATTAGAAAGAAGTTTAGTATGTGAAGTCAAATGAAATCACCAGGTTTTAAGTAGAAAAAAATGACATAATCTGACTTTAAGAGATCCCCTGTGTTAAAATTTAATGAAAAGAGGATTTATGAAAAAATAAACAAGAAAATCACTGAGGAATCTACAAACTAATATAGACAGCAGCTGATGCTGACTTGGATATGATGTATCTAGTTTCTGGACATATTGTGAAGGAATACTTGACAACATGTGCTGTCACATAAAGGCTGAGGTCTAAGAATGCTCCAAGGCTGTTGGTAGAACAGATGAAAGAGTTGCCATTCGCTGAAGTAGGAAAAACTATATGAGGGGCTGCTATGAACAAGAACATCATTAGCACAGCACTAGGCTAAATTTTAAATACTGAATAAATGACCAAAGAGAAGTGTTGAGTAGGCAGGTTATTATCTAAAATATGGAATTAAGGAGAGAGATCTAAGTTGCAGTTAAAAATTCATAATTCATTTGCATAAACAAGATAGTGAAACCATGAGAGAAAAGATCAAAGACAGCCTTGGGATATATCCATGTTTTAAAAGTAGAAGATGAGAGAAACAAGGGAAACAACACAGGATGGAGTAGAAAAGAAACAGAAAGAGACTGGTTGACAATTATACCCTGAAAGCCAAGTCAAGAAATGATCTTGAAGGAAAAGTGTTCTACAGACATAATAAAATGTTACAAAATCTAAGCTGAGACTTAATGCCCAAATATGTTTAGCTTGTCCTAAAATAGTCTGTCCACAAATATAAGACCATAAGTAATTGTTATTTTCCTATTGTTTCAAACTATATTGACAAAATGTATTATTTGAAAAGAATTTTTTAAAGATGTTTTACCCTCAAAGGATCAAATATTTTGAGTGGTTCATTAAAATGAGAGCCTGTGACAGCACTTTGCCACAGAGGGTTAAGCCACCATATGAAGTGCCACAATCCCATATGGGCCAGTTCGAGTCCTGATTTCTCTGCTTCCAATTCAGCTCCCTGCTAAGGTGCCTGGGAAATCAGTGGAGGACTGTCCAAGTTTTTGGGCTCATGCAACCATATGAGAGACCTGAAACAAATGCCTGGCTTCAGGCTGGCCCAGGTCCAGCCATTGCTGCCATTTGGGGAGCAAACCAGTGGATGCAAGATCTCTCTGTATCTCTTTCTCTGTCCCTCTAACTAGAAAAAGAGAGAAAGAGAGAGAGAGAGAGAGAGAGAGAAAGAGAAAAATAGAGAAAAAAGAGAGAGAGAGAGAGAGAGAAGGGAGGGAGGGAAGGAAGGAAGGGGGGAAGGGGAAAGGGAAGAAGGAGGGAAGGAAGGAAGGAGGGAAGGAATATTTAATGAAAAGAAAAGGAGACCTTGGAAAGTACTACAACATAGATTAAAAATCAGTGGCAATCCAGAGAAAACCTGTTTTGGAGGGGTTGTGGGAATGTAAACAACTGGAGTGAGTCCAAGAGTGAAGAGAAGGTCAATTTGAGTCAGTGAATAGAGACAGTTCTCCCAAGGAGATCACTGCTAAGGCCATGATCATTGAAGATCTATTTTTCTCCATGTTTAACTGAATTTTTCAATCCTCGCATAATGATTTTAGGGAATATTTGTGATTCTCTAAAGTTGTTGGAACTAAAAATGTTCTGATCAAAGCAGTAAATAATTCATAAACTTAAGGAAGTGAATTCCTTTAAAAGTTCCTCATTAGGTATTATATAACTGAATATTATTATTCTGCTGATAATATTGAAAATCTAAATTTTTCAAGGGCGACTTTTGGGTTGCTTAAAAGCCAGGAGGCAGGAGATTCTTCCATGTCTCCCACATGGGTGCAGAGTCCCGTGCACCTGGGCCATCTTTGGCTGCTTTACCAGGCAAGTTAGTACAGAGCAGGATCAGAAGAGCAGCCAGGATTTGAACTGGCACCCATATGGGATGACAACACTGCAGGTGGAAGTTTAAGTTGTATGCCACTGCACCAGCTCCAGAACTAGAGTTTTTGTAAGCTTTATTTGATGTCACTCCTGAAAAATACAGTATGATACATTCTGAAACATTCTTTAGCCTGTAGTCCATCTTCTAAAGGAAGATTTATTGCATTAGCAGTACCAATGTTTTGGCATAGGTTCAGTAAAACCGTGCCCAAGAATAAATCCAGCTGAATCTTTCCTAGTACTGTTCATAAAGTTTTAGTGATATTAAGCCACACTAATTACCTTATAGTCTATGGAGGATTTCGCACCACAACTATAGAGACCTTCTGATGCCAAAAGCCTAAAATATTCATTATCTGGTTCTTTACAGAAAAAGTTTACAACTCCTGCTTTAGCAGATCAAACATCCTTTGACGCATTTGAGAAGGTTTACCTAACAAACTGAAATGCTTATAAGGAATATGGACCACAGTATGCAAATACCCAATAATGCTCAAATTATTTTATAGATTCTATATTTTAATATTTAGGCTCAAATTGGGATCAAAACTCAAAAATAAAATAGGTATTGGTTATAAGAAGTACAAGTGTCCCACGGACTCCCCTTTTGCAACTCAGCAGATATGGTATTTTAATAAAATATGCTTAAGATGCATCACCAAACTAGTCACATTAAATATTCTCTAGTTGTGAAAAAGCAGTGTACTATAGATAAAACCTCATTTTTAAAAATGGTTGCATATTGCGTTCTTTTATTGGTATGACAATTTATTTCTATTTTGATTGGTATTTAGACTGATTCTAGGCCGGCGCCGCGGCTCACTAGGCTAATCCTCCGCCTAGCGGCAACATGTTTTATTAACCTATTTTCATTTTATTTGGAAGGCAGAGAAACACATCTAGATAGACTAACATATTAAGAAAGATTTTCCATCTGCTGTTTCATTCACAAATACCCAGGACAGCCAGGACACCCCATGGGAGACCAGGAAAAGCACCTGGCTCCTGGCTCCTGCCATCGGATCAGCACGGTGCGCTGGCCGCAGCGCGCCGGCTGCGGCGGCCATTGGAGGGTGAACCAACGGCAAAGGAAGACCTTTCTCTCTGTCTCTCTCTCTCACTGTCCATTCTGCCTGTCAAAAAAAATAAAAAAAAAAAAAATAAAAATAGACTGATTCTAAATTGTTGATAAACAATGTTATTGTAAATGTCATGTACATAGGCAACATGTTTTATTAACCTATTTTCATTTTATTTGGAAGGCAGAGAAACACATCTAGATAGACTAACATATTAAGAAAGATTTTCCATCTGCTGTTTCATTCACAAATACCCAGGACAGCCAGGACTGGGCAAGGATCCCCAAGGGTCTGAATTTCCACCCAGGTCTCTTTAAGTGGGTGTGGACACCCAAGTACTGGAGCCACCATCTACTGCCTCCCATGAGATACACTCTTAGGAAGGTAGATAGGGGCCGGCGCCATGGCTCAATGGGCTAATCCTCCATCTGCGGCGCCAGCACACAGGGTTCTAGTTCCGGTCAGGGCGCCGGATTCTGTCCCGGTTGTTCCTCTTCCAGTCCAGCTCTCTGTTGTGGCCAGGGAGTGCAGTGGAGGATGGCCCAAGTGCTTGGGCCCTGCACCCCATGGAAGACCAGGAGAAGCACCTGGCTCCTGGCTTCGGACCAGCGCGGTGCACCAGCCACAGCGCACCAGCCACAGCGGCCATTGGAGGGTGAAACAACAGAAAAGGAAGACCTTTCTCTCTGTCTCTCTCTCACTGTCCACTCTGCCTGTCAAAAAAATAAAAATAAAAAAAAAATAAAGGAAGGTAGATAGGAAGCAGAGAAGTATGGACTCAGACCACCTTCATATAGGAAGAGTGCATGTCACTGGCCCTGCAACATATTTGTATAAATATCTTTATCATATGTGTTTTACATCCTTAACACTAATTGTCCTATTACATCTTACATAATAGATGATGACAATACATCATAAATGTCATTAACTTATGGGTGTAGTAGGGTACATAGACCATACTATGCTATCTTGTCAGGTTTAATCCCAGAGTGAAGTTGCTACAAGGGCAAAGAATGGTTTATTTCAAATTTTGACATGTGCTCTTAAGCTACCCTTCAAAGAGTCTTATAATTGTATTTACCAACAGTAGATAATAACTTTTCCCTCACATTTGCCAACTATTAACTTTTAAACAAATACTTAGCAGTATGGTTTGCAAATATTATTTGTTTCTTGATATATTTCTAATTCCAAAGCATGGAATAAAATCCTTAGTAAAAATATGTTAATCATAGATAATAACCCAATTAGAAGTGGCTTTATAGCACAATAAAAATCACATCACCTAATGTTAAATATTGCTATAGACTTACGAATAATATTCTTCACTCTTCTTAGTGGCAGATTGCTGGTTGTCAAGGTCCCCACTCTGTCTCTGCTGATTCAGTCCACAACCATCACTGTCCTCAGGAGGAGCAGCACTTTCATGCAAGTTTCTTAACACTTCCATTTCCTTACTTTGGCAACGCTGCCCTTTTTCTTCAAACTTTAATGAAAGTTTCATATTAAAATCGCTGTTAGTACATAAATATAAACATTTTTGTGTTCATTTATTATTCATTTTATGTAGCACATTTATTGCTACATAAATGTTTTACATACACTGTTTTCTACTACAGTGACAGAAAAAATTTTGAACATCCTGCTACTGGTTGGAAAAAGTTTATCAATAATACTTTGGATATTACACATGTTACAATTCTTCAATAAAACAACAATGGAAACTGGAGAAACAATTCACCTCCAATAATTAGCTCTTACAATACACCACAGGCAATAGACAGTGTGCTAGAATCCTACAATGGTCTTAAAATGCTAATGTAAATTTCTGGTATTATTGATATTATTATTTTTTTTGACAGGCAGAGTGGACAGTGAGAGACAGAGAAAGAGAGAAAGGTCTTCCTTTTGCCGTTGGTTCACCCTCCAATGGCCGCCGTGGCTGGCGCACCGCACTGATCCAAAGGCAGGAGCCAGGTGCTTCTCCTGGTCTCCCATGGTGTTCATGTTCAGGTAGGGTTATGATAAATAACCCTACACTTCTTAAATATTTATTTACATATGAGAGAGAGAGAGCACTTTCATCTGTTGGTTCCTTCCCCAGATGGCTGCAATGGCAAACACTGGGCAAGGCTGAAGTCAAGTGTCAGGAACTGCATCCAGGACTCCCAGATCAGTAGTAGGGGGCCAAGCACTTGGGTCTTCCTCCACTGTCTTCCTCACGCCATTATCAGGGAGTCAGATTGGAAGTAAGAAGCCAGATTATGAATTGTCACCAAGTGGGATGCTGGCATCAAAGGTGGCAGCTTTACCCACTATGTAACGTCAGTTCCCTTTTAAAATATTTATTTATTTATTTGAAAGTAACAGAGAAAGACAACCCTATAACTTAACTACATTGTAATAAACTTTAATCCTGGAAACATCAATTTTGAAAAAATCTAGAAAGACCAACATTTAGAATTCAAGAAATTTCCTTACAACATTATTGGATAAAAAGATTAGCTATTATGCAAAATGAGCCCATTTTTTCTATTTTATGAAGGAAAGCTTATGAGCATAGTGCCAAGTGTATACAGTGAAAAACACAGCAGTCTCTAAGAAAACAGGACAAGCAGTGGCATATGAATATGCCACACATCATAAGCAACAACTTCTGTTTAAGTGCTTCACACAGAAATGAAGAACCAAGCCAGAGTCTGATATAACTAGAGAAAGAACACAATTAAAGGGACCAAAAATTCACTAGGTTAACAAAGGACTGATTTGCTAGGAATCATCCTGATGGGAGGATCTAAAATTCTTTTTAACTGGGTTTGCTCTTCAAAGTAACAAAAATTTTAAGATTGTTGATACTGGCACAAGGAATTAATTGTCCAAGATAATCATGTTTAACATATTTTTTATCCAAGAACTGTTGAGGAGGAAGATGTACTTCATGGAAGTTCAAAGTGATTACTGCACCTAAGACACTCGCCATGAATTCTAGTCAATGAAATGTATTTGTGCTGCATGTTATATACTTTAGTTTCAGCATTACAGCTCATGGAAATTTTGGTGCATTCTGCTTCATTTCTGAATTTAAAACTTTTGACAATTCTCCAAAATGTCAAAGATGGTACTTCCTCATTTTATGCTTTTATTTCTATCCACATTTCACTATCTAGTATGTTTATTAACCTGTATGGAAGCAATAAGAGAAACACGTAAAATATGTCACTTTCTGTCATTGTCACCTGGATTTTATATTAACCATCCAGATTTACAGGATTTGACGATGCAGGTCTCTAGTAACAGCAAGGAGGCTTCCCCTCTGTGCTCTAAGCTATTTTTTCTCTCATTGCTTTTATAATTATTTTTTCCATAGACAATAACTTTTAAAGTATTCACAGATCATTAAAACTTTAATATTATAACATTCTTAACCATTGGGTTCACAAAGGTGTAAAACAAAGCTTTAGAAAACTATGTTGCCAGGCCGGTGCTGTGTCCTGGGCCCCTGCACCCACGTAGGAAGCCCGGAAGAAGCTCCTGGCTCCTAGCTTCGGATCAGCGCAGCTCCAGCCATTGTGGCCATCTGGGGAGTGAATCAGAGGATGGAAGACCTCTCTCTTTGTCTTTACCTCTCTCTGCAACTCTGTCTTTCAAATAAATAAAGTAAATCTTAATTTAAAAAAACTACGTTTCCAGCAATATTTTTCCCTTTAGATCCTGGGATATTTGATATTCAGAAAAGGGATACATGTTCACTAAAATATATCCGTCCAAGTTTGCCACACCTCAAAAGAAGAGGGAATGTCATGAATTGTTAGTGAGAGATACTGAAAAATAAGCTTCCCTCATTTTACAGTCACTAAGCATATAATTTCATAGACGGAAGGCATGAAGTAATTAAGTGTTCTGGCCCCATTATCTACTGATAATGGGAATAAAACTTCAAAAGGTTAAATGATTCAGACAAAGTACACAGAGTGGCTTTTCCTAGCATTTTATGGCACTAACAGAAAACACACATTCTATAACACTGAATCAGATACATTACCAGAGAAAATAACCAAATTAATCACAGAAATGAGCAGTGTGACTTTGTCAAAATACTCCAATGCCTTCAGGGTGAGGAGCGTGAAGAGAGGCTTTATCTACCCTTACCTATAAGAGGATATCTGTAGATTTTTACATACCTATAAAACTGTAAGTACTCCAGAATGTAGCATCCTAATTTAGAGACAAACATTGAACTTCTGGTGGTGGTTTATGATACTTATAAAAGTCTAATTCACCAGAAATACTTGTGTAAGCATAAAAGTTACATGAAAGTGTATGTAAGTGTTTGAAAAAAATCTTTAAAATAGTCATGTTGGAACACAAAGTTCCATGTACTTTAACTGAATCAGATAAAGTTGTACAATAGACAAGGCACAATAAACAGACTCACTATGCTTGTAATATGTTTCACAACACTCAAGGCCAGTTACATGCTAATATTCACTCTCAAACAATGGTTCCTTCCCACGGTATGCTCACTGGATCCCACATATTCATATTTTAATATGTAATCAATACAATTCACACAAGATGATCCAAGTAGTTGGTTTCCTGAACCCGCATAAGGGACTCAGATGAAGTTTCTGGCTCCTGATTTAGGTCTAGCGCAGTCCTGGCCAAGGTGGCCAATTGTGGAGTGAAACAGTTGATTAAAGCTCACTCTTGCTCGTGCTCTCTCTCTTCCTCTCTCTCTCCCTCCCTCCCTTCTCCCATATCTCCCTCCTCCCTCTTCCAAAACTCTGCTTTTCAAATAAATAAGTGAATCTTTAAAAAATAGATAACTGTAATTTATTGTTAAGCCAATCAAAATGGCTAGGGCTTATTAAAATTTTTAAAAAAATCTTTATACTTATTCTGGTTCAGAAAGTCATAGAGTATTCAGTTAAATTATTTGCCCAGGTTAAAGGTCACTGGGAAGAATTAAATAATAAAAACTATGAAGATTTTTTTAACTGTAATTTAGAGAGCAACATCATTGTGTACATAAGCTTTTTCTAGGTAGAAAATGTAGAAAATCACAAGGGAACCTCTCTGTATTTTGCAAGTTAAACTTTTTCACCAAGGCCAGAAACTACTTGTAATGAAGCCAGAAACTACTTTTAAAAATCTACTTTAATGTATTGGAAAGTCAGAGAGAGGGAGAGAGGGAGAGGGGGAGAGGGGGAGAGAAAGAGACAAACTCTGCTGGTTCTCTACAACTACCCACAATAAGCATGACTAGGCCAGGCAAAGGCCAGAAGCTGGGAACCTAAAGGTACATCTCTCACAGGAGCGTGAGAGAAACAAGTACTTGAGCCATCACCTGCTTCCCAGGGTATGCATTACTGGAAGACAGAACTGGAGCAGCACTTGGACATAAACCCTGGAACTGTGATATGGAATGTTAGTATCCCAAGTGGTATCTTAATGACTATGACAAATGTCCATCTTATCCTACCTCATTCTTAAATCTACACATATTTTGCTGCAGTACTTCATTTTGATGTTTTGTCCCTATGTGAGGGAGAAGAACAAATAATTTCTTTTTTTTTTAATTTTTTTTGACAGGTAGAGTTATAGACAGGGAGAGGGAGAGACAGAGAGAAAAGTCTTCCTTTGATTGGTTCACTCCCCAAACGGCCGCCTCAGCCAGTGCTACGCTGATCCGAAGCCAGGAGCCAGGTGCTTCCTCCTGGTCTCCCATGTGGGTGGAGGGCCCAAGGACTTGGGTCATCCTCCACTGCCTTCCCGGGCCACAGCAGAGAGCTGGACTGGAAGAGGAGCAGCTGGGACTAGAACCCAGGGCCCATATGGGATTCTGGCGCCACAGGCGGAGGATTAGCCAGGTGAGCCATGGTGCCGGCCTGTGTAATAGGTTTTTAAAAATGTTATTGAACACCATATCTAGAATTGTTTGCCTCTTTCAAGAAAATGATTAGCTATATGATACAACAGCTTCTAAGATTTTGTCTAATAAGCAGTTAACATGTTTTTAATTAAGCATTAAATTATGATCTTTTGATACATATATACACACCTACATATATTATATACATATATATAAATATCTGGTATGGAAAGTCATTTTGATTGGTATATGCTATGATACACACAAAAATATGAAATCAGAAGTTTACGTTTTTACATACCTGCTTATTTTCACTTCCATCAAGCCATTCTTGTTCTTCCTTGGGTGCTGTTTTAATGTCATTATTTGTTGGAGAAGACTTGACATTTTTTAACTCAAGTTCTGTGCTTTTATATTGATTAGTATTGCAGTGAGGAAGGAAATGCCTCTTGAGATGTTTTGGTATTGGTTTTAACTTGATTCTGCCTGTAACTACAAAACACTAGACTTTATTATTTGAATCATATGCTTCAATTGTTTAGTTTGGGTAAGTCACAAGTCCAAAATGTTTTCTGGGCCACTGAGGTGAGGCACATATCCAGGGTCTAATTCAATTAGTGATATTTTGTTTAATATTTTTTTGGCATTTACACAGGTAACTCTAGTGCCCCTTACAGATCTATATTTCTACTTAAATATGTTAATTATCAGTGAGAGGAAAGCTACAATCTTAAAAAAATAGCAAATAACTCATTTTATCAATCGAAAGCTTAAGCTTAATCTTTCATTGAATATTTAATTCTTTAAGAAATACCTCTGACTTCCAAATTATCAGCAAACAACTTGAGGAGACAGCAGATATCTTCCTGTGTACTAAATATAATCATGTAAGCCACTCAGAAGTTTATGCTAAATACCAGCCCACACAAAATTATCTATACTCTTGTCTCTACTGTTTATATGTGAACTCGAGCTCAAGAATAAAAATGATTTTCTGAATTATATCCTGTTGACTTTAGGTGGCATAAGAGGAGTAATCCAAAAGTGAACCCTGGAACAAAATGATGTTTGAAAGTCACACTATGAAATTATGCAGTCACACAGAAGTGCTCCAGGGTTAAATTCTGTGCTCTGATTTCCTCAGCTATTACTTTTATCTGTCCATGAGATTCCATGGATATTGATGGATTTTTGGTCACAGAGTTCATAAAACAGTTATGTATCATCAATTGTCAAATTTGTATATCTTTGACAACTCTTATTACTGAGAATCAAAGGATAATCAAACTAGTAGGCAGCTGGGGGCAGAATCACAGTCTGAAAAACTTAAGAATGAAAATAATACAAATAAGATTAACATAATACAAATAAGATTAACATATACAAATGCATTAATTAAAAATTAGTTTAGTTCCAATATAGAAGCAAGGTACACAGAATTTCAGAATGCTCTAACTGGTATTTATCTGAAATATTTTTATCATTTTGATAAAAGATAAACTATCATATTTAAATATTTTAAGACAAGTCTAGAACAAAATCAGAAAAACAGAAAAAATTGTTATAGAATGCTATTATTTAATAAATATAAATTTTTAAATACAACTTTTGGATGATAGTGGTTCTTCCCCCCATAACTTCCCTCCCACTTGCAACCATCCCATTTCCTACTCCCTGTCCCATCCTATTCTTTATTAAGATTTATTTTTAATTATCTTTATATATAGAAGATCAACTCTATACTGAGTAAAGATTTCAACAGTTTGCACCCACACAGACACACAAAGTATAAAGTACTGTTTGAAGACTAGTTTTACCATTAATTCTCATAGTACAACACAGTAAGGACAGACGTCCTACAAGGGGAGCAAGTACACAGTGACTGCTGTTCTTGATTTAACAATTGACACTCTTATTTATGATGTTAGTGATCACCTGAGGCTCTTGTCATGAGCCACCAAGGCTATGGAAGCCTCTTGAGTCCACAAACTCTGACATTATTTAGATAAGGCCATAGTCAAAGTGGAAGTTCTTTCCCACCCTCAGAGAAAGGTATCTCCTTCGTTGATGGGTCGTTCTTTCCACTGGGATCTCACTCACGGAGATCTTTCATTTAGGTCATTTTTTGCCAGTGTCTTGGCTTTCAGTGCCTGAAATACTCTCATGGACTTTTTAGCCAGATCCAAATACCTTAAGGGCTGATTCTGAGGCCAGAGTGCTGTTTAGGGCATCTGCATTCTATGAATCTGCTGTGTATCCTGCTTCCCATGTTAGGGCATCTGCCATTCTATGAATCTGCTCTGTATCCCACTTCCCGTGTTGGAGTGTTCTCTCCTTTTTAATTCTATCAATTATTATTAGCAGACACATATTATTTATGTGATCCCTTTGACAATCCTATCTTTATTATCAAATATGAACTTAAACTAGTTAAACTTAAACACTTTAACTAGTAAGATAGCATTGGTACCTGTGAACTTAATGGGATTTGGAGTCCCATGGCAAGATTTTAGCTTTACCCTTTAGGAGTAAGTCCGAGGGATCATGTGCCAAACTGTACATCTCCTCCCTAAATTATTCCCACTCTTATTTTTAACAGAAGTCAATTTTCAATTGCATTTAAACACCTAAGAATAACTGTGTGTTAAGTAAAGAGTTCAACCAATGGTATTAAGTAGAAAAAGAAAATATTAAAAAGAATAAAATAGTAAGCTGTTCCTCGATAGTCAGGACAAAGGTTGATCAAGTCATTGCTTCTTGTGTCAGTTTCACTTTTACAGGTTTCCTTTTAAGTGCTCAGTTAGTTGTCACAGATCAGGGACATATGATATTTTTCCCTTTGGTACTGGCTTATTTCACTCAGCATAATATTTTCCAGATTACTCCATTTTGTTGCAAATGACCAGATTTCATTTTTTACCACTGTGTATTATTCCATAGAGTACGTATTTCATAATTTATCTATCCAGTCTTCTGTTCATGGGCATTTAGGTTGATTCCATGTCTTCGTTATTGTGAATGAGCTACAATTAACTTTGAGGTACAGATAGCTTTTTTATTTGCCAATTTAATTTCTCTTGGGTAAATTCTGAGGAATGGGATGGCTGGGTCGTGTGGTAGGGTTATATTCAGAAGAAATAAAACTTTAAAGGTGATTCCATCACCAGGGACTGCATTAACATTTGGGTAAGACTACAAAGGGTTTCAAGTAGTAATTCTAAATTCTGATCCAAGTTGGTATGTTCAGGTGCCAAAAAATCCAATCAAATAATTTTAGGTGTTAATTGCAATTTTCAATCCATTCTCTTAAAAGTGCAGAATCAACTTTTTCAGAGAGATATGCCATAAATACTATTAGTTGTAACAGTTAATGGGTCATGGATATTGGAATGTAGGACTCTGCATGCTTGTACTTAATTTTCCCAGTTTTCATATCTAATAAACTAACTATGAACAGAGCAGTCCACTAAGTAAAGGATCTCCAAATACTCACAAGGATTTTAATGGTAAAAAGAACCCTAAGATGAGAATGTTTAAGAGTTCTAATTTACAATTAAATTATTTGGGGACACTAAATCAGTTCTTAAAGAAAATTTAAAGTATATATTTTTATTCTATATTGACACATCATTGTGGCATAGAATATGTTGTTTCCATATGTGTATTGTATTATACAATGCATAATGATCAGATTAGATCATTATTAGCATACCAGTCACTTCAAATATTTATTCTTTGGGAAAATTCCAAATCTTATTAACTATTTTGAGATTGCAGTTCCTCTTCTGTGCTTTAAAATGATTAAGTATTGTCTCTGTTCTCTGTAATCACACACACACACAAATGAGAGTATGCTAATCAGAACATCACTAGGATGGAACAATTAAAACAAATGAAATTTAGGAATAATGTTCCAATTTAGGTAAAGATCAGAATTCTATGACATTTTAAACCATGAAAATTTTAATATCTTAATTAACTTATGTCAATCCTAATAAAAGATAAGAATTTTAAACTAGGCACTTCAGGGTATCAAAAAATGAAAGGTATTTTTTAGCATCTCAGTTAAAGGTTACAGTCTCTAGATGAGAAATATATTTTTTTCAGACATGAATCTGAAAATGATATCTGCATTATTTGTGCCAAAACCTTTTATCAAATCTTCAGACACAAATAATTTTTAGAATGAAGATTGAAGGCATTTCAAATACTGTGTTTCTTTCCAGATAACATTTGTACTGCAAAATTACCTTGTCTGCATGTTTGTACTTCATTCATTCCCACTGATGTTGCCAAAAAGGGATGTATTGCTTCCAGACGAGGCTGAAGGAGTTTTGAAACAAGATAGTTAACAATGCATATTTCATATAATATGTATTTAATTAGAGAAAAATGTAAAATACACATTATTACCAGCTATTGAGAATATTCAAGACAAAAATGTAAACGTTATTACCGTCAATTCAGTGGATCCCTTAGCAAACTCTAAAAAGCAAAAGAGATATACAGTCAATTATATGTAAATATGACTAGGCCGACAATATATGGTGCAGGTTTAGCATTGCGCTAAGTCCACATGTGTGGCTATGGAAATGATTACTGTAGGTTTGGGGGAAGCGGTTTATATTTGGGGTGCTAGGAAAACAACATGCAAGATAGAAGTATATATAAAAACATACAAACCAGAGTTCTATCAAAAATAAGTTCCTAGTATTACACAGCATAGTTGAGCAACTATATTACAGTAACCTATCTTATAATGAAATAAAAGGAGTACCAAGCTTTAATAATATCATGTGAAAGAAAGGAACATGCCAATTACCCTGATCTCATCAAGATATGTTGTATACATATAATGAAATGTCACACTGAATTCCATAAACATATATAATAATTTTTAATAAAAATAAAAATAAAAAATCAAATAAAATTCAACAAAATAGACCTATGGGTTTAATAAAACACGCCACTAAGATTTCAAAACGTATGACAATGTCTCAAAAAGTATGACTGTTAATTAAGCAAAAAGGTACCCATATGCAAAAGTGAGCATGCTGAGTACTGGGGACAAATGTGATCTTTAATCAAAGGAACAAATCATGACCATGAGAGTCTAAATGAGAAAGCTGATGGTCGAATGTGACAGCATACCTTTACTGTACACATCAGAATCATTTATTCCATTGTGCTACAATTGTTTTTCGGTGTCTCCTGTATTTTGGAAGCGTACAGTTGTGATGAAAGATGAATATATAATTCATTTCTTAGCAGAGAAAGTGGTCTGACCTCATCAATTGGTTTATATACTTGGCTTTAGATAGTAACACATAGTCACAGTTTTCTATAATTATGAGGACTACTGGTTTGTGTACATTTCTTTCCTCCTCTAGTTTAGCTTTGAAAGATTTTACTTATTTATCTGAAAGACGGAAGAAGATAGATGAGAGAGATAGAGAAATATCTTCCATCTACTCTTCAAATGCCCACAAAAGCCATGGCAACATCAAATGGAGGGGTCAGCACTGTGGTGTAGCAGGTAAATCAGCTGCCTGCTATGCCGGCATCCCATATAGGCACCAGTTTGAGACCCGGCTTCTCCCCTTCCAAACCAACTCTCTGCTGTGGCTTGGGAAAGCAGTAGAAGATGGCCCAAGTCCTTGGGCCCCTGCACCCACTTGGGAGACCCAGAAGAAGCTCCTGGTTCCTGACTTCAGATCAGCTCAGCTCCAGCCTTTGTGGCCATTTGGGGAGTAAACCAGCAGATGGAAGACTTATCTCTCTCTCTCTCTCTCTCTCTCTCTGTGCATCTCCTTCTCTGTGTAACTCTTTCAATTAAATAAATTTTAAAAAAAATCAAGTGGAAGCTAGGAGACTGGATTGCCTTCCAGCTCTCACACAAGTGTTGCAGAATCTCAAGTACTTGGGTCCATCATCCACTGCTTCCCAGGCAGTTTTTCAGGAGGATGAACCTTAAGTGTGGCACCCGAATACGGAATACAGGCATCCCAACAGGTGGCTTAACCTACAGTCCCACAGTGCCTAGCCCTAGTTAGATGTCTTAAAGATTTTATCCCCTGATTCAAGAAGGTACATAGAACATATATAAGTAATTGCATATAATATGCTTTTGACACAGAAACCTAGTCATCAAAAAGAATAAATTCACTAAGCTGCCACAGAATTATTAATATCACTTTTTATTCTAAATCAATGCAATATTTACTGAAAAATTCTGGTATTGAAGGAATGAAGTCTATGATATCTTGTTTCCAAAACACATTTATTCTAGCATAGTATGCTAACTTTAATTTTGTGAAACTACTTTATAAAAAATTTAGCTATAAGATAAGCCAATGATTCAGTATTCAAATTTTTTCTCATTTAAATAGCATCCATGCAATTTATATTACTAGTGCTTTAGAATTAAATGAAGTTCAAATGAGTGGCTGCAATACCAGCACGCCATCCTGTTTTTGGTAATCTCTGGAGCAGCAATAACCTAATGTGTTTAAATGTGAACATACAGAAGGCATCTGAAGTGAATATTCTCATGTTTCCTCATTAGTAACTCTAAATTTACCAGGTTCACTTCATTCTCTCTTCTTCCCTCTTCAGAATCATCCCTCCTTATCAAAAGTAATCTCTGGATCTGTGCTCTGGATTCTTCGCCTTACCATTAATTTTAGGGACTATCCACACCACTTATTTTCCCATTTATCGCTACAATTTACAGTTCTAACTTCTATTTCAACCTCCCTTCAACTCTCCTTGCCTTCCCCAGAGCCTCTCAAACTTTACTCCTTCTTGGCTTCCTTCTTTCCTCTCATTCCTGTTTCCAATTTCTCCCTCTCCTCTCCTCTCTTCCCCTCCCCTTCCCTCACCTCTCTTCCCCTCCCCTCTCCTTCCCTCTCCTCCCCCTTCTTCCCCTCCCCTTCCCTCTCTCCTCTGCCCTGCGCTCCTCTCCACTCACTTCCCTCGCTACTTCCCTCCCTCCATCCCTTCCTCCTTCCTTCCTTCCTTCCTTCCTTCCTTCCTTCCTTCCTTCCTTTCTTCCTCCCCTTTCATCCTCTGGATAGGAACATGCTGAGAAATAAAAACAAAAAATACTCTCCCTCTATCCTTTTAGTTCTTGAATACTTCTCCCAAGGTCCTTCTTTCAAATATCTCTGAAGGGAAACATATAACCCTAAAGCTCACCAGGGATCGTGATGAAAATGCAGAATCCCACATTTAAGGAAACAAAATGTGCATGCTGAATAAGGTCCCCAGAGATTCTTAAGTTTAAGAAGTTCTAGTCTTTACAAAGCTTCCTTATATATTCCTTTTCCTTAACTCCCCTTTCTGGAATGTAGCCTTAAGTTCATCCCTGCCACATCCCCCAAATTTAAATGGCATAAGATGTCATGGTTTAATGGGCTTTTTCTCAGGCAGTTAATTTTATTTCACCCTTTTCCCCATTCTAATTTCATTTAAAAAGACTAAAATTACCAAGTAATGAAATGACAAGTCAACCAGAAGAACAATAGCACATTCAGAAATACATGGAGATGGGCAAAGGACATGAATGGACAGTTCTCAAAAGAAGAAATACAAATAGTCAATACACACACACACACACACATAAATATATATAATACTTAATATTACTAGCCATTAGGAAAATGCAATGAGAAAATTACCATGAGATATCACCTCAGCCCTCAGAATGGGGGCTCTCCCTCATTCTGAATCCTCATTCCCTGACTTTATTCTGATTGTAGGTTATCCTGAAATGGAGCTAATACTTCAGCTCCTCTGGGGCACTCACAATTTAATGCATTGCTAACTAGTGGCACAATACACAGCTTACCACTCTCATTTATCTTTTCCTTACTATGCATTTAATACACAACTTTCTTCAGCTATTGGTATACATCAATATTCATGTCTTAGATAAACATCTGTCAACTGGCTTTAAAAACTACAGTTCTTACCTTCCAGTGGTTCATTCATATCTTTTCCTTTTGCATCTGCTGCCATTGATTGATTAATGGATTCCTTCCAAGAATTTGTAGAAATAGTCTATTAAAGTTAATGCCAATAATGAGTTGCATACACTTCCCAACAATGTTCTAAAAGAATCTTAATTTTCCACTTTCTAAAGAGTTCCACTTTATAAAGGCAAAAATAAGATCAGCATGTTTTATACAAATTCTCAAGATCAGGCCTAACTTTGAGTTTCATGTTACTGATTCTATAAATGCAGCATGGAGGTTCAGAGGAACAATAACTTATGATACTAATAACATATTTTAGCTACAAACTAACTCAAAAAGTCAACTCTGCATTGTATTCCCCAATAAAATAAAGAAGACAAACTAGAAAAACACATTGAAAAATTATAGTGTTATAATACAGAGTTAAACACATGAACAATTTCTAGGTTTTGTCTTAACATTCTAAACATAAGAAACTTCAAAGTATGCCATACTGAGTATAAACAGAACATCTCAGAAGCTGTACATTTACATACACAGTGGTTTAGAAATGCTAAGTTTTCTTTTTATTTACTTATTTGACAGGTCAAGAAATACAGAGAAAGAAAAATATAACACGGAGAGAAAAAGAGAGAAAGAGACAGACAGGCTAGGGAGTATATCAGTTCACTGGTTCTGTCTCCAAATGCCACCACTTGTCAGCCATGGGCCACACCAAAGCTGAGAGCCAAGAACTCAGTCCCAGTCTCTGATGTGGATGGCAAGAACACAATTACATTAGCTTAGACCCGTTGCTTACAGGGATGCACATTAGTTGGAAGCTGGATTTGGAATTAAGATATTAACCCAGGTACTAAGATGTAGGCTGCCAGAATCCCAACTGAGCTCTTAAATGCTAGGCAGAATTCCTGTCCTAAATATTATTTAATACAATGTTTAAACACGTGAAGATGGTTTGAATGAAATAGCAGGAGAGTAAGTAAAATTTTCCTTTAGTTATGCTTCGTAACAGTATGCAAAAACCTGTATTAGTATGCAACTCACTGAAAGAAAGAAATACTGTGAAGATTGTACTGTAAGCTTTAATAAGAATAAGTGTATTTTTCTGCTTCAGCTTCTAACATGTGTCTGACACTCATTTGCATCATTTATTTTCTACACACAATAACATATTAAAAAAAGATTGAGGGTGATGGTTAGTCCACTACCTGCATCTTGCTAATTTCTGGAAGTGAAGAATAAAATAATAAACAGAGGTGATCCACTAATCTTTCTGTCCATAATGTCCTCCTTCTAGACATTCAGAGCGAATGTACATTCTCATTCTTATGCTGGGCAGCATCAAATCAGTAGCCCTATTTTTTCCCTCTGCCTACAGAATTCCACCATACAAACCATTCCAACACGAAGCACAGACACCCTCAATATCTCTATTCAACAGTCTCTCATTACTTTTTATGAGGCATTTAGAGGTAACTGTTAGTGCTTGTTACCTTGATTTTCTGTTCCAACCATAAGAGAAGTAGCCCAAACCTGTAAAGTCAGTGCCTAACTGCCCTACCACATAGTTGGAACTCACCAACAAAATTTATTTAAGGTGTCAATTAAAATATTACCAGAAAGGCCTCAAGTATAAAGTTACTATATTCCTATAGAAAATTTCCAAAAGAAATCATCCCTGAATTAGAAAAAGTTCCAAGGTAGTTAGTATTCATATATTTGGTCACTGGTAGAGTGGAAACATTCTTTATTTCTTAGAAAAGATTATTCTTAAAACTCAACAAATTCCTTGTGATACCTAAACCTTTCTTTTTCACTGCATGGTACTGGATTTATGAAAGAAACCTTGAGTTTACACAGCTGTAAAGTACTTAGCACATAGTTGAATTACTCATGGGATGGGGAAATGTGAGGAACTAATTCCTTATAGGTATGCACTAAAGAGAGAAAGTGGAAACAGTCTCTTTGCAAGTGGTTGGTCAAATGGTGAAGAAGCTAAGTCTAAAGGATTATGTCTGATGTGAGAGTGCCTGGGCTTAAGTCTAGGCTCCAGCTCAGAAATCTAGCTTCCTACAAATGTGGGCAGAGTGAGACAGTTGGTGGTGACTCAAGTACTTAAGTTCTAGCCATCCACATGGGAGACTGGAACTGAGTTTCCAGTTCCTGTATCTCAGCTTCAACGAGGTTATGTTCCTGGAGTTGCAGGCACACATAGGGATTGACCTATAGGACCCAAGAGAGTTCTGCGTGTCTCAACTGGCATGTGAGTAGGTATCTATCTGTGTTATCTCTGTGTCTGCCTTTTGTGTCAATATCTTCAACAAGGTACAAAAAGCCTTAAGGAAAAGATATAAACTATAATAGGTGTTTAGCTTCTAAACTGTGCCAGACTAGGGGGAGCAATTTGACAGGGTAAGCTGTTCCTGGGGACACTGGCATCCCATAGAGTAGTGCCTAACCTACTATATTTGTACTCCAGATTCTAGATCATGTGCATGCTGCGAGGCAGGTATGGCTTATATACATGAGTCCCTGCCAACCCTGCGGAGGGTCCACCAAATACCAAACTCCTAGATAGAACCTGCCCAGTCCTGAATGTTTCAAGTATTTGTGCAGTAAATCATTGCACTGAAGATCTCTCTGTTGGTTTGCCACTAAAATAAGTGAAAATAAGTAACATTAAAACATGCCAGGCACTTATTTTCACATTTTCTTTATTAAACTGATCACATAACAATGGCTGCAATTATGGTTGTCCCACTTTAAAGTTTTGCTAATACCCAACTATAACAACCAAATGATAAAAAATGAGACCCACTAGTTTTCTGCCCAGAATATTCTAATCCTAGACTTTCACACACATGATTCCATCTCATCCGTTCGTTGGCAGCATCATAGTTACATTCAGAAAGGTTTTCTCTGACTAAGGAATTCCAAAATCAACTCCCACTTCTATGCTAAGGAAAAAAAAATCAGATTTAAATATATTTGCTCAGTACACATAACTGAGGTAAATGTTGGTACCATTTTCCTAAATGTGGTAACACACAAATAGCTTATATCTTTATTTTTAAGGCAAGATAGATAGTAACTTATAGATCAGCATAAGAGTATGGCTTATAACTTAGTGAAATGCCTGACCCCAAGGCAGCAGCTGTTCAAACCTAAGAACTTAGGCTTGTTTTCACTCACTGTCCAGCCGTCACCATAGAAAACACAATTTTATATGTATGTAATGACTAACATTGCTGCCATAAAAGTAATCAAGACATTTTCTTTTCTTTTTTTAATAAAGATCTTATTCACTTATTTGAGAAGCAGAGTTACAGATAGGATGAGAGACAGAGAGAAAGGTCTTCCATATGCTGTTTCACTCCCCAGATGCCCACAATGATTGGTGCTGGGCTGACCAGAAGCCAGGAGCCAAGAGCTTCTGCACAGTCTCCTATGTAGGTATAGAGCCCAAGCACTTGGGCCATTGTCTACTGTTTCCCCACGCTATAGCAGAGAGATGGATTAGAAGAGGAGCATCTGGGTCTCAAACAAGTGCCCATATAGGATGCTGACACCGGAGGTGGAGGCTCAGCCTACTATGCCACAGCACTCAATCTGGGGGAATTTTAATTTCAAAATTTTTTTTTATGTTATTTTTATTTAGTAAATATAAATTTCCAAAGTACAGTTAATGGATTACAATGGGTTCCCCCCATAATTTCCCTCGCACTCACACCCCTCCCATCTCCCGCTCCCTCTCCCCTTCCATTGACATCAAGATTCATTTTCAATTATCTTTATATACTGAAGATCAATTTAGTATAAATTAAGTAAAAATTTCATCAGTTTGCACCCACACAGAAACACAAAGTATAAAATACTGTTTGAGTACTAGTTATAGCATTAATTCACATTGGACAACACATTAAGGACAGATGCCACATGAGAAGTAAGGACACAGTGACTCCTGTTGTTGACTTAACAATTTGACACTCTTTATGGCGTCAGTAATCTCCCTAGGCTCTAGTCATGAGTTGCCAAGGCTATGGAAGCCTTTTGAGTTCGCCAACTTCGATCTTATTCCAACAGGGTCATAGTCAAAGTGGAAGTTCTCCCCTCCCTTCAGAGAAGGGTACCTCCTTCTTTGATGGCCCTGTTCTTTCCACTGGGATCTCACTCGCAGAGATCTTCCATTTAGGTCTTCTCTTTTTTTTTTCCAGGGTGTTTTGGCTTTCCATGCCTAAAATACTCTCATGGGCTCTTCAGCCAGATCTGAATGCCTTAAGGGCTGATTCTGAGGCCAGAGTGCTGTTTAGGACATCTGCCATTCTGTGAGTCTGCTGTGTATCCCGCTTCCCATGATGGATCATTCTCTCCCTTTTTGATTCTATCAGTTAGTATTAGCAGACACTAGTCTTGTTTGTGTGATCCCTTTGACTCTTAGACCTGAATATAACCCTACCATTCAACCCAGCCATCCCACTTCTTGGAATTTACCCAAAGGAAATTAAATTGGCAAACAAAAAAGCTGTCTGCACATTAATGTTTATTGCAGCTCAATTCACAATAGCTAAAACCTGGAACCAACCCAAATGCCCATCAACAGTAGACTGGATAAAGAAATTATGGGACATGTACTCTATAGAATACTATACAGCAGTCAAAAACAACGAAATCTGGTCATTTGCAACAAGACGGAGGAATCTGGAAAACATCATGCTGAGTGAATTAAGCCAGTCCCAAAGAGACAAATATCATATGTTCTCCCTGATCGGCGACAACTAACTGAGCACCAAAGGGGAAACCTGTTGAAGTGAAATGGACACTATGAGAAACAGTGACTTGATCAGCTCTTGTCCTGACTGTTGATGTACAATGTAATACTTTATCCATTTTAGTATTTTCTCTTTGTTTTGTTCTAGTATCATTGGTTGAACTCTGTGATTAACACACAATTATTCTTAGGTGTTTAAATTTTAACTGGAAAGTGATCCCCGTTAAATATAAGAGTGGGAATAAGAGAGGGAGGAGATGTACAATTTGGGACATGCTCAATCAGACTTGCCCCAAATGGTGGAGTTAGAATCATGCCAGGGGATCCCAATACAATCCCATCAAGGTGGTATGTACCAATGCCATCTCACTAGTCCAAGTGATCAATTTCAGTTCAAAATGGTTTTTATTTAAAGGCCCCCACTTATCCAAAATCTTATTGCTATAATCTAACATTTTTATATTCTCCACGTTTCCCCTTCACTGAAATATTCTTTACAGATTGACAATTGACAATACAAATATAATAATGATGATTTGAGGGCCGGTGACATGGCTCAATAGGCTAATCCTCCACCTGCAGCGCCGGCACTCCGGGTTCTAGTCCCGGTCGGGGCGCCGGATTCTGTCCCGGTTGCCCCTCTTCCAGGCCAGCTCTCTGCTATGGCCCGGGAGTGCAGTGGAGGATGGCCCAAGTCCTTGGGCCCTGCACCCGCATGGGAGACCAGGAAAAGCGCCTGGCTCCTGGCTTCGGATCAGCGCAATGCGCCAGCAACAGCGCGCTGGCCACGCCGGCCACTGGAGGGTGAACCAACGGCAAAAGAAGACCTTTCTCTCTGTCTCTCTCTCACTGTCCACTCTGCCTGTCAAAAAAAAAAATAATGATGATTTGAAGTGTCAGGTATTGATTTGTGAGTTCCAAACTGTGAAAACCCACAGATAAAACAGTTCCTTTTCAAAAGCACATTAGGATGATTAGTCATCCTTGTAGCTACCATAGAACCAGACATTTGGCATAAATTGCACTGTGATAAAACCATACATTTTAGCTAAATTTTGGAAACTAATTCCTAATTACTTGTGTTAATTAGGCCTTATGTTTTGAACTGTACTGTACTGGCTGCATTAAATTAGTCATGTAGAGAATTGTCACAGTGCACTAGTGCATCAGGAAAATACTCATCACATGATGAAAATGTAAGGAAATAATTCTAATAGGAACACACAGAGGTGAGAAAGAGACATCAAGTCATACCATTCGCAGCTATTTGTCATAGTGTCTCAGACACTAATAGAGCACCTGAATACACTATGTCAGTGCCTGGATTCCATTTCTGGTTTTGGATATGGTATTAAAAATCCTGTTGGGAAGGCCAAAATTGTGGCAAATGGGTAAAGCTGCTGACTGCTATGTTGGCACCCCAGGTGGGCCTCAGTTCATAATTATGCTGTTAGACTTCTGATCCAGTGCCCTGCAAATGGCCTTTGAAAAGTAATGGAAGAAGGCCCTTATGTTTGGGCCCCTGCCACCTACCTAGGAGAACCAGATGAAGCTCCTTTCTTTGGCCTGGCTTAGCCCTGACATTGTGACCACTTGTTGAGTGTGCCAGTGAAAGGAAGTAGTCTTTCTCACTGTATCTCCCTTTCTCTGTATCTATGACTTGGAAATAAATAAGTAAACCTTAAAAATCCTGCTGTGGCTGGTGTGTGGTGCAATACGTGAATCTGCCACTGGCAATGCAGCATCTCATAGTTCCATACTGGAATGTCAGTTTGAGCCCCAACTGTTATTCTCCTAATCCACCTCCTGCCCATGCAACTGGGAAAGCAGCAGAAGAATGGCACAAGTATTTGGTCTACTGTCACCAAAATTTGAGACTTGGCTAGAGCTTTGGGCTCCTGGCTTCAGCCTGGCCCAGCCCTAGCTGCTGTAGCCATTTGGGGAGTCAATTAGTGGATGGAAGAACTCTTTGTCGCTCAATTCTTTCATCCCTCCATCTCTCCATCTTTATCTGTCATTCTGCCTTTCAAATAATAGAATGAATCTCATTAAAAAATTCCAGCTAATACAGACTTAGAAAGGCATGAGGTGATGTCTCAAGCAGTTAGGCCCCTGACAGGGAGACCTGGATGGAGTTTTGAGAACTTAGCTACTGGCTTTGGTTGGGTCTTGTCCCAATCATACCAGAGATTTGGAGAGTAAATTTGTATGTGATAGCTCTGTGGGTTTGCCTTTCATCTCTCTCTGCCTCTTGGTTTCTCAAATAAATGTTTAAAAGACCAGAGAATCAAGAACCATACTCTTCTGTGCTTTAGGTTCTTCTCTATTCAGGATGACCTCCTCCTGCACATTCACAGGGATGGCCCCAACTCTTCCTTTACTTGGCAGTGGCATAGTCACATTCCAAAGAAAAAAAATCTCTGAATACAGAATTCTACCCCACGTTCCACCTTTAACCTTATGGAAAATCCCCTGAATATTTTGCAGCCCCACATTCTCTGCTAGATTTATATGAAGGGTGGATAACAAATTATCGTGGATTGCTGCTTGCTATGACATTCTAACCATGACAGAAGTAGCCCCTTTTAATATATTCACTGTCTAAAATTCAAGCTTATATTAGGCACAAAACAAAAATAATTATTCATTTTAAAACATTCAAAATATCTCCAGAAAGGCCTGAAGGGCCCCGTCACTATATTAACATAGGAAATATAGTAATGATGCAGTAATAAGACTAAACATTTCATGCCAAATCAAATTTCTCAGTTTTTTCATGACACTGCCACTGAGTCACACTGGACTTCAGATTTTAAAAAGTCTACTTGCAAACATAAGTAACTGACATCACTGGATGCTTTTTTCTTCATTCTGTATGTATTTCACTGTTTGCATCATGTTTGCTTATTTCTTGCCACGTTATTTTATTGTACTGCCTAAAAGTTAGATATCAATCATTCAGGTGTGGCCACTGGGATTCAAATGACTTATATCACTTTTCACAAGACTCCATTACCAGGGAAAGGCCAGCATGTTAACAAGTCTTAGGACTTCAGTGAAGTCACAGAAATCAGTATGAAGCAACTGCTCAAGTCAGAAAGCAAATCCTATCTCATTTCCAGTTGCCACTATGAACATCACCATTATTAATACTTATGTGGTTATGAATATTGCTAGCATGAAGTTACTCAGTATTTTACATTTAAAATGTCTTATGTTTATCAAAACACAGCTAAATCAAAATGATGAAATCTTTACTTAATATATACTAAATCAATCTTCTGTATATAAAGATAATTGAAAATCAATCTTGACGTGAATGGAATGGGAGAGAAAGCAGGAGATGGGAGGGTTGCAGGTGGGAGGGAAGTTATTGGGGGGGGGGAAGCCCTTGTAATCCATAAACTGTACTTTGGAAATTTATATTTACTAAATAAAAGTTTAAAAAATGCCATATGATCTAGCAATCCCACTTCTGCTTATACACCTAAAGACAGGAAAGCACTGTATTGAGGATATCTGTGCACCACCATATTATAGCTGCACTGTTCATAAAAGCAAAAAGAGGAATCAAAGCGCACTTCTAAAGATGAATGAACAGAAAAAGTGCAGCACAGGTATCCAATGTAATAGTATTCAGTCATTTGAAAGAATGAACTTCTGCCATTTGCAGCAAAATGAATGCAACTGGAGGGCATGATGTGGGGGAAAAGAAGCTGGACGCAGAAAAACAAGTATCTCATGTTTTCCCTTAAAAGAGGCAGCTTAAATCGAAAAATGAAGATGAAAAGGCAAATAAGGCAGAAATGCTTGTGTGTTTCGATACTGTTGCAAATGTCGTCTTGATAAGCTTTGTTTTATACCTTTGTCAAGCTCGTGGTTAAGAATATTATGCTACTATAGATTCAATGATCTGGGATTACTTTGAAATTTATTGCAGATAAGTGAAATAGTCCTTTTTCCATTTCATTATTGTCTTTGGCCTTGTCTATATTCCTACTTTACTAGGCATTTTTTTGCTTTTTACTTGAAGAACCAAGTATTTACAGGAGCCATGGAATGTAATGTAGATCAAGGACATAAACTCAGGTAAAGCAGAGAAGGGGTAAAGTGAGAGGAAGCAGGGTGGGAGGCACAGAAGGAGAGGGATGGAGGACAAAGGCACATCATTATACTCTTAGAATTCCATGAGCTCTATGGAGCCTAATAAAACACTAAAAAGATATAGAGAGACTCCAGAAGATATGGATACCATAGTTATCATTGTAATTGTGAAGTCTATTTGTCTTCACAGCTTCTTCAAACAGATGATAATATTAAATGATTTTGAAACTAGCTGCCCTGGCTTCAAGCAAACACCAATTTTGTTTTAACAAGACTGAAATCAGGTATTTCCAACTCACAAGAAGACACACTACCTTCGAATTCCTTGGTGAGTTGTTGTCTTCAGGATCTCTTTGGGAGGTAGACTCCTTACCTACAAAACAGTAATAGATCAACTAGTGAGAACATTTATTCACATGGAAACAATTTAAATAAAGGCGTGTCTCTCTCCACTCATGAATATTGCAATTAAATGAATATTTCAATGAAATAAAAGGAATAGTAAGGATGAATTTCAGAGGGTTGAAGCTGTTTCAGGAAGAAGTTGGTTATAAACAAAACCAAAAGAAAACCCTCAACATACATGGATATCCAATTCAGAGCTACTCATTTCTCTTCATTGTATTTCAATAGTAAGTTTTGATAGATATGCACTCACCACGTTTGTTATCTTTGTCCAATCCGTGATCAGAGTTCATAATTAGCTGGTGTGGATCAACTTGAGTGATGAAAAAACATTTTTTACTCTTCTTACCCGCTACAGCTGACGTTCCTGCCTACAGAACAATAAAATACAAATTCAACACATATATCCAATTTCTCAACCCCTCAGCTACTCATTCAGTGAGACAGGATTTACTATGGGTATCAAGTCATAGGCCCAGTCCTTGAAAAATCTAAGCATATAAACAAACAGCAGATTCTACCCCATGTTCAGCTAGAGGTAGACATGGGAAAATACAACAGGAAAGTATAAACCACTATTTCTGCCACTGAAGTCAATATAGTTGAAGAAAAGGCAGAAAAGAGAATCCTCAATTCAGTCTTGCAAGGTCAGGAAATACTGCTTGATTTCTGGCAGAGAGTTAGAATTGGGTACAAAATGAGGACAGAAAGCCATCCGAGGTGTGAGGTAGATAGCTCATCTGACTTCTTCACCACTGGGCCAAGAGTTTAGCTCCTAATTCTTCTTTCCTAGGTTCTAAAGGCAAGAGAGTTGGCTGAAGCGAATGTCAAGACAGCCTCAAAACCTCTCCTTTACGTAGCTTCAGATAAGTAAGGGGAAGCTTGTATTACATAGGTACTAGGTATCCCACTCTCTCCCAGATAAGAAATATCGTCAGAATATATGAACAAACAACAAATGTAACTCAGAAATGGACACAGCACCTCAACAGACCTGTCTCAAAAGAAGCCTCTCAGCTTAAAAAACACACATATACAAAGCAAGTCACTGAATCTTTGCTTTAACTTCTATGCATATTTTAGAGTTTACTGTTTTTGTTTTTTTTTTTTTTTACATTGGCTACCACAGATGCTCATTACACCTACGTGGGCATTAAATACTGGCATATTTTATGAATGTGGTATATGGCATGCCAAAAGGCTATATCATCTTTCCAACGTACTGTAGCTAAAAGTGACAGTGCAACATACTAATATGTGCTATGACTTAAATAAAGTTAGTGATACCACTATACTGCTTAAACCTAAGAGCTCTGAACATAGCTACCTCACTCTCTTGTTGTCACAGTAAGAAAAAACATTTTAACTTATGTATGTACATATTTACCAAAAGGATAGTCCAAATTCATCCAATTCTAATTATCTCTATTTATGAAAACACCACCAAAGTGGTTGTCCTCCCACAAATTTACTACTTCGCATGTTATACCTTGCTCTAAATGTTACTACCTGCGTATCTCAGCTGCTATTCCGAAGATGTTAAGAATGCACTGAAACACAGGTATTAGGTTTTCAACTTGCAAGTTGTGGAAATAACACATCAATTTTGGTATCTAAAAATCTCATCAGCATGACAAGACATCTATAGATATACTGGAATCAGATGTCTGGTGTTACATTCTAAAACAATTCTGTTTTTTTGTTGTTGTTGATAAATATAATTTGCAGAGCAAATTTACTTCTTTATATTACCCAGGTCCTATTTATGTGTTTTGAATTATGCTACAATTGTCACACTAAATAAGTCAAGTAGAACTGTAGAAGACTACTAAAGTAGCAGGGCAATGGTTACAACATAATGCATTACTAATTGTTTGATGAAAACAAAGAAATCAGAGAGTGTATGCACACAGATGAAAAAGAAGAGCCACCCCAGTACTCAGTAGTCCCCTCCCCCAATGGCTCATGCTGTGCAGGACACCAGCATGCAATATGAAAAATTCCAGGGTTCCATTACCGACCCCTGTGCAGGAACCCAGCTTCCTGCAAACGTGCAATCATGGAGGGAGTCAATGATGTCTCAAGCTCTTGGGCCCCAGACACCCATGAGGGACACCTGGGTTGAGTTTCGAACTCCTGACATCTGCATTTGGCCTGGCTCTGTTCACGGCGTCACAAACATTTGGCAGGTGATCTCTCGGTGTCTGCCTCACTTACGTCTTTACTATCTCTCTTGATAAAGTGGTGGCAGAAAAAACAAGAACTCTTTTCTATATTTTACCATCGATTAATATAATACTCACATATAAAAGTCACAAGAAAACAAGGGACAGTACCTCAGACTTTAAGGAGTATTTTAAAGGCTCATCATCTGGTCTGAAGCCAGGCATATCTATAAAACATAGGCAGAGTTGTACTCATGAGAACATTTGTCAACCGTTGCTTTTTTTTTTAAATATATTTTAATTTATTTGAAAGAGTTACACCGAGAGAGAGAGAGAGAGAGAGAGAGAGAGAGAGCCACTGGTTCACTCCCTATTGGCTGCAACAGCAAGAGCTATGCCAATCTGCAACAGGAGCCAGGAGCTTCTTATGGGTCTCCAATGTGGGCATGTGGGCATGTGGGTGCAGTGGCCCAAGGTCTTGCATCATCTTCTACTTTCCCAGGCCATAGCAGATATCTGGATGGGAAGTAGAACAGCTGGCACTTGAACCAGTGCCCATATGAGATGCCAGCACTGCAGGCGGGGGCTTTACCCACTACACCACATCGCCAGCCCCAACTGTTGCTTTTAAAAATTACGCATTCCGCTGAGTTCATCAATAATATACTAAAATTAAAGTAACAGCAATAAAGAATTTCAGCTAGAGGGCCAGTGCTGTGGCATAGCAGGTAAAGCCACGGCAATTCAGCAATGGCATACCATATGGCTATGGGTGCAAGTTCCAGTGGCCCCACTTCTGATCCAGCTCTCTGCTAATGTACCTGGGTAAGCAATACAAGATAGCCTGTCTTTGGCCCCTTGCACACACATGGGAGACCCAGATGACGCTTCTGGATCCTGGCTTTGGCCTGACCCAGTCCTGCCCATTGTGGCCATTTGGGGAGTGAACCAGCAGATGCAAGACCTCTCTCTCTCTCCAGCAGATGCAAGACCTCTCTCTCTCTCTCTGTCTCTCTTGCACACACTCTCCTCTTTCTCTCTCTCTCACACACACACACTCTACCTCTATGCTTCTGACTCCACCTCTCCCTCTCTCTATCTCTTTCTGATAAAAACATAAATTAAAAAAAAGAATTTCTGCTTGTTCAATCAGCACTTTAAACCAGGTTGAGTTGGACATATAAACAAATAGCGAAAGAAAAATCATCAAAATAATGGAAATCATTTCAGTTGAGACATTAGTACTTAAACAGTGTTTCACTGATAGATACTGACCAATAGTTTTGTCTTCTGGCACTCCAGCAATACCAGATAATGTGTCCTTTGCATGCTCTTGGGCACTTAGACTGACAGCCACATCCTTTTCAGTATCTCCACTTGATGCCATTGACGCTTTTCTCTACAGAAAGAAATAATGCCACAAATTCAGCAAACATTCATTCACGTGCTCAGCCAAACAGGAAGACGTTTGCTGTGCTTGGGAAGCAATAGGCGCTCTCAAACAATGAGCTAAATATAAGGAAAGAAGACAGATTCTATCCTGTAGACTAGGGGCAAATTGACCTCTGTCAAACAAAGAACAGAAAACCAGAATTCCTCATTTTCAACTATCGCAGTCAGTAAATTACAATGAGGGTAGGATGACAGAATCTTCAGCATGACTTTGAAACCTCAGCAAAGTCTGTAGGGTTAGGAACACATTTAGTACGGCAGAGAAAATGCAGGGGCAAAGCATGATGGGCCTTCTAAACAGAGCAGTGTGAACAAAAGGAGGAGGCAAAACATGGCAAATGAGGGTTAATAAAGTAAGGAAGTAAAATGGCCAACATATTATTGAAACTGAGAGAGACAGGTGCAGTATGTATCCAAGACCAAACCATGAATGCCTATGGCATGCTGGAATCAGAGCTCGGCAGCAATGGGCTCCATCTTTCTCATTCACCATTTGGTCAATGTAGAAGAATATTTATAGTTATGCTAGTACTAACATATCTATCATAAACATGTTGAATTCATTAAATTTTCCAAGATAGCCTGTGTTTATTAAAGACACCATTTAAACAGGCTTTATTTTCCCAAAAGAAAAATGAATGATTACTCATGTTTTACCTCATGCTGAAATGCCATTACTTCTGATTAATAATGGCATTTTGATTCATTATGCTTTTATTTGGAATTCTAAGCACATAGAAATGGCAGTCCAAATATTTCTCTCAAAATCTCATTCAGATGAACAGGTGGCATTAGATATCACAAAATAATGTTATTCACATTGGTGGAGCTAAAATAAACTTTTAATTTTCAAGATATAGCTAGTTTCCAAACCAAAACTGATTCCTTATCTCTCTCAGGCCTACTTTATTATTGTCTATGTTTAACTACACCAACGGAGACACACACATGTGTAGATCTTCTCTAACGTGGCAGTGCACTGTTTACAATGCACTACTAACTTTATGATGGAAATAAATCATACAGGGCAGGCGTTGAGAAAGGAAACTCAAACCTTCCTCTTTGTAGTCACTTGCCACAGTGGCTCGGATGCTAAGTGGGACAACAGCATACAGTATTTCAGGGTTCCTTTATTGATTCCTGCTTCTTTCCCTCGCATCTTACTGAGGCATATGCAAGGAAGAAATAGGTAGTGACTTAAGCTGTTGTGTCCCTGGCTCCCATGGGAGGCCTGGGTTTAGTTTCTGACTCCTTTCACCTGGAATAGGCCTGGCAGGCATCTGGCCAGTATACTGTCTGTGTGTGTCTGCACACGCATCTTTCTTATCTTTCTCTCTGCCTTTGAAATAATTTTTAAAAGGCAAAAAAGGAGCAACTACACCTTTACACATCTCAGCATCAATTAATGCTCACATTTCAAAGTCACAAGAAAGTAAAAGGCAATAGCGCAGATTTGGAAGTGGATTCCAGACATTCATCTTCTGATCTGGAGGTAGCCACTGGATTTACAAAACCTAATCACAGCCCCTTGAATGAGAACATGTATTTCTATGAAGTTTATAGGTAAATCCACAATCTACCACCATTCAGGAATATTGCAATAAAATGACAGTAGTGGCAATAAAGTGCAGAATGTAGAAACTATTGTAATAGGGAGATACTTAGCATATACATAAAGCTAAAGAAAATGCAAAAGGAAATGAATGTCATAATGGGACCTACACTTCCCAGTTTCAACAGCAGCAATGATACCGTGATTCATTAAAATATACTGACCTCTTTGGCTATCCTTGCCCAACTACATGACAGGAAATAATCCAGAATATCTCCTTCTGGGACACCTCCAGTGGCAGCACGACCTTCACCCTTTCCACTTGATGTTTCTTCCTATGCCAAAAATTAATTAATTAACTAATTAATAAATACTAAAGCAAAACAAGCAATCCAGAAACTCAGCAAACAATCAGTGGCTCCATCACTAAGATACAATTTAATCTGCTTGTCAATTCCTAGGCACATTTCCTCCAGAAAGATAAATATATAAACAGAGGTATTTTCTACCCTATGCTAAGTGGGAGCAGATACATAGGAAAACAAAGAATAGGAGCATATAATTCATCACTTCTACCATGAGGTAAAAAAAAAATAAGCTACAGTAAAGGCTGACTTGAAACAAGACCCACAGCTTTCAGCATATACAAAAACTCAATTCAAAATGGATCAAGGAACTAAACTTAATACCTGAGGGTATCAAGGTACTACAGGAAAACCTAAGGAAATGCTGTGAGGCACTGGCCTAGGCAAATACTTTTTGGATAAGACTCTCAAAGCACTGGTGCTAAAAACACAAACAGGCAGACAGGACTGAATCAAGCTAAGAAGAGTCTGCCTATCAAAGGAAGCTGTGCATCTAATTTATCTTCTATTCTATTAACTCATTTTCAGAGGGTATAAAGAGCTCAGGAAACTTAACAACAACAAAGCAAACGATCTCAGGAAGAAACAGGTACAGGAAAGAACAGGTATTATTCAAAGGACGAAATACAAATGGTCAACAGACACATGAAAACATGCTCAGGGAAAAGCAAATAAACAACATAATGAGGTATCACTTCTCTCCAGTAAGAACAGCTGTTAGCCAAAATCAAAGAATAACAAAAGCTGCTGAAGTGGTGTAGCCAAATTCAGTAGTGGTAGGAACACAAATCGGTATAGCCGTTAAGGAAAACAACACAGAGATTCTGTAGAAAACGAAAAATGGATCTACCATGTGACCCAGTTCTCCAACACTCGGGAATGCATCCAAAGAAAGCGAAACGGCATATGAGACTGGTACCTGCATTCTCATGTTAAGAGTAGCACAAGTCACAGTAGTAAAGGGATGAAGTCAGCCTTTGAGCTCCATCAACTAATGACTGCACAATGTTACATGCTGAACTATCACTCAGCCATAAACTATGAATTACTGATATTTGGAGCAAAACATGGAACTGGAGATCATTATTCTAAGTGAAGTAAGCCACCCAGAAACACAAATACTACGTTTTCATTTATTTGTAAAAGTAAATTTATAGAGAGCACAAAGTTGTGTGGCTATCATATGATCTGATATATATAATTAGAAGTATTGTGACACTGAGTTATTGTATTACACAACAATATATTCCTCTGCTTCACAAAATGATCAATGAATACCTCATTAGGTAACATTATTATCCATTTTCAAAAAAAGAGTGCATACATGTATACCTGTAATATATACATAAGATGTGACTGTGGCAAAATGTAAAAGAACCTGTTGAATCTTAAAGCTAAAAAAAATGTATAAAAACATTCAAAAGGCTGAAGAAACACACACCACTTTTATGTCTTAATGTCATTGAAACCTTGCATGGACAAGTACCTCAGAATCCCACGGTGATTCTACAGCTTCATCACTTATTCCGGAGATAGGCACTGCAACTACAAAATGTAGTAAGCGATCGACTAAGAAGAATATTTATGAAATGTACAGACACACGCAATTCATCTCTCTCTCCACTCATAAGTAACTGGAGAAGCCAAAGGTAATACTGAGAAGGTGCTTTAGAGGACTGAGCAGTTTTAGGGAAAATGTCAGAAATATTAAAGCAAAACAAAACAAAACTCCCAAAACAAAGGTAAAATAAAATGGATGTAGGATTTCATTTAACACAACCTTGATGTTTCATTTAGCAGTAACGTTGAAAAAGAAGAACATACATACACTCAAGGACCGCTTCTACTACCTCAGGGGATCAGTCTCTACTAACTTGCATGCCTAGAAATTGGTTAAGTGGGGCAATACCTTCTTCCCTCTTTAGAGGTTCTGCAGAGGATTCCTCCTATAGAAAACAAGGAACCACAAATTTAGCACACATACACATTCAATTACTCAACTACTCACTAAGACAAACATTTACTGTGTCTATCAAAACATAGGCACCACCTAACGAAGACAGGCATGTACACAGAGGCGCATTCTACTCTAGGCTTCCATTGGGGTATATATACATATAGAGGAAAACAATGAAAAGGAAATTAAGATTCACTGATTCTACTACTGACATGATAAATGAAGAGGTTACAGAAGAAGCTGGAATTACAGAAGCTTCAGTTCAGCCGTGACAGTTTACAAAACAGGACAAGGCCACAGCCGTATATTTAAAGTACACAAAGTACAGGGGGATTGTGTGTAGGGTCTTCTGAGAGAGGCTGCAGGAACAGAATGATGAGACAGAAAACAACACGACAAATGAGGGTAAGAAAGTAAGAAGGTAACATTACAACACATTGCTTGGGACTGGGATAGAGTTACTGTAGAGAATCAGGGTCAAGCTGCAACTGGCATGTGGTATGCTACAATCTGAACACTTTTCTGTACAAGACTCCATAGAATCATGGCTCAATACTCTAGTCATGAATATAATTTAGAAAGGCCAATCTGGCAGGATGTTCAGATGCATGCAATGCATTCTCTGAAGCATTTCTCAGATTTGAGAGCCTCCGGAGTCTTAGAAGTCATATCTAGAAGAAGACTTGCGGTACAGGAGCAAAAAAAAAAAAAAAAAACACTCTAGGAAATGATGGCTGGTCTAAAAGATAAATGAATACAATAAGCTAAAATTGTATAAGCAAATTTTTGTAATCATAGACTAAATCCTGATATTTTGGAAGTGAAAAAAAGGGGCAAACTATCATGAGTTTCTCATGGAAAATGACAATTATCAATGATTTTATCAGGGATCTAAACTGTAACTCTTTTTCTATGTAGTTCTGTCATGTTGCTGTAACATGCAGTTGTAAATTTCAGAAAAGACTTATGTCAATGCAATCTATTGGAGATACTGAAATAGGAGATGGTAAAACATACATCTAAACATTTTCAAGGTCAGAAGTGCCAAGGAGATGCCAGAGTAATGAAGAATCCTTTTCTGTACCACGATGATTTCAGATAGATATCCAAAACCATTCAGCATTAAGTTCAATCTGGTTTCCTTGTTTTTTTAGTTAATTACATTTTTGAGCCTTCAAAACTAAAAGTACATAATAAGAAAAGGGGAGAGGGGTTATAGATCCACAGACATAGACCTAGACCTAGCCATAGAAATAGTCATAGACATAGACATATAGACACAGATATAGATACAGACATCAACAGAAGTATAAACATAGACGACAGAATCAGAGGGAGAGCGAAAGTGAGAGATCAGACAGAATCCTAGAGAGGGTTTCATTATTCATATTTCTGCAAAGTCCAGTCTAGCATTTTGTAAAATCAGGAGCTGGGGACTCAATTTCTCCCAATGGGTAGCAAAGAATGAATTATTAATCCATGGAAGCCTGACAGGGTGCCTCCTGGCTGAAAGTTAGAATCAGGCACAGGAAAAGGACAGAAGCCATCCTAGGTGTGAGGTAGATAGCTCATCTGACTTCTTCACCACTGGGCCAAGAGTTTAGCTCCTAATTCTTTTTTCCTAGGTTGTAAAGGCAAGAGAGTTGGCTGAAGCGAATGTCAAGACAGCCTCAAAACCTCTCCCTTACGTAGCTTCAGATAAGTAAGGGGAAGCTTGTATTACATAGGTACTAGGTATCCCACTCTCTCCCAGATAAGAAATATCGTCAAGAATATATGAACAAACACCAAATCTAGCTCAGAAATGGACACAGCACCTCAACAGACCTGTCTCGAAATAAGAGATAGAAATGGCAATCAATATGACAGTATGTTCAACATCACCAACCACCAGGGAAATGCATATCAGTGCCTCAAAGAGATATCACACCACCCCTTCTCAAGATAGCGAAAATGTTTATCTGCCTGTCTTATGTAAGTAGCTGTCTCTCAAGTAACTTTATACCTTCAAGCAAACACCAATTTTGTTTTAACATCACTGAAATCAGATATTTCCAACTCACAAGAAGACACACTACCTTCGAATTCCTTGGTGAGTTGTTGTCTTCAGGATCTCTTTGGGAGGTAGACTCCTTACCTACAAATGCAGTAACAGATTAACTAGTGAGAACATTTATTCACATGGAAACAATTTACATAAAGGCATGTCTCTCTCCATTCATGGCTATTGCAATGAAATGAATATTTCAATGAAATAAAAGGAATAGTAAGGATGAATTTCAGAGGGTTGAAGCTGTTTCAGGAAGAAGTTGGTTATATTAAAAAAAGCCAAAGAATACCCTCAAAATAAATGAATATCCAATTCAGAGCTACTCATTTCTCTTCATTGTATTTTTATAATAAGTTTTGATAGATATGCACTCACTACGTTTGTTATCTTTGTCCAATCCGTGATCAGAGTTCATAATTGGCTGTTGTGGAGCAACTTGAGCGATGAAAAAACGTTTTTTACTCTTCTTACCCGCTACAGCTGACGTTCCTGCCTACAGAACAATAAAATACAAATTCAACACATATATCCAATTTCTCAACCCCTCAGCTACTCATTCAGTGAGACAGGATTTACTATGGGTATCAAGTCATAGGCCCAGTCCTTGAAAAATCTAAGCATATAAACAAAGAGCAGATTCTACCCCATGTTCAGTTAGAGGTAGACATGGGAAAATACAACAGGAAAGTATAAACCACTATTTCTGCCACTGAAGTCAATACAGTTGAAGAAAAGGCAGAAAAGAGAATCCTCAATTCAGTCTTGCAAGGTCAGGAAATACTGCTTGATTTCTGGCCGAGAGTTAGAATTGGGTACAAAATAAGGACAGAAAGCCATCCGAGGTGTGAGGTAGATAGCTCATCTGACTTCTTCACCACTGGGCCAAGAGTTTAGCTCCTAATTCTTCTTTCCTAGGTTCTAAAGGCAAGAGAGTTGGCTGAAGCGAATGTCAAGACAGCCTCAAAACCTCTCCTTTACGTAGCTTCAGATAAGTAAGGGGAAGCTTGTATTACATAGGTACTAGGTATCCCACTCTCTCCCAGATAAGAAATATCGTCAAGAATATATGAACAAACACCAAATCTAGCTCAGAAATGGACACAGCACCTCAACAGACCTGTCTCGAAATAAGAGATAGAAATGGCAATCAATATGACAGTATGTTCAACATCACCAACCACCAGGGAAATGCATATCAGTGCCTCAAAGAGATATCACACCACCCCTTCTCAAGATAGCGAAAATGTTTATCTGCCTGTCTTATGTAAGTAGCTGTCTCTCAAGTAACTTTATACCTTCAAGCAAACACCAATTTTGTTTTAACATCACTGAAATCAGATATTTCCAACTCACAAGAAGACACACTACCTTCGAATTCCTTGGTGAGTTGTTGTCTTCAGGATCTCTTTGGGAGGTAGACTTCTTACCTACAAATGCAGTAACAGATTAACTAGTGAGAACATTTATTCACATGGAAACAATTTACATAAAGGCGTGTCTCTCTCCACTCATGAATATTGCAATGAAACGAATATTTCAATGAAATAAAAGGAATAGTAAGGATGAATTTCAGAGGGTTGAAGCTGTTTCAGGAAGAAGTTGGTTATATTAAAAAAAGCCAAAGAAAACCCTCAAAATAAATGGATATCCAATTTAGAGCTACTCATTTCTCTTCATTGTATTTTAATATTAAGTTTCGAAGGATAGGCACTCACTACCCATGTTACCATTGTCCAATCCACGATCATAGTTGAACGCATATTCATTAATTGGCTGTTGTGGAGCAACTTGAGTGATGGCGATATCTTTTAAGCCCTTCTTACTCGCTAAGGTTGACATTCCTTCCTACAGGAAGATAAAATACAAATTCAACAAATACACCCAAGTTCTCAACCCCTCAGCCACTCATTCAGGGAGACAGGATTTACTATGTGTGTCATGTCACAGGAACAGTCCTTGCAAAGGTTGAGCATATAAACAAAGAGCAGATTCTACCCCATACTCAGTTAAGCATATACACAAAGAGCAGATTCTACCCCCACGTTCTTTCAGTTGAGCATATAAACAAAGAGCAGATTCTACCCCATGTTCAGCTAGAGGTAGACATGGGAAAATACAACAGGAAAGTATAAACCACTATTTCTGCCACTGAAGTCAATACAATTGAAGAAAAGGCAGAAAAAAGAATCCTCAATTCAGTCTTGCAAGGTCAGGAAATACTGCTTGATTTCTGGCCGAGAGTTAGAATTGGGTACAAAATAAGGACAGAAAGCCATCCGAGGTGTGAGGTAGATAGCTCATCTGACTTCTTCACCACTGGGCCAAGAGTTTAGCTCCTAATTCTTCTTTCCTAGGTTCTAAAGGCAAGAGAGTTGGCTGAAGCGAATGTCAAGACAGCCTCAAAACCTCTCCTTTACGTAGCTTCAGATAAGTAAGGGGAAGCTTGTATTACATAGGTACTAGGTATCCCACTCTCTCCCAGATAAGAAATATCGTCAAGAATATATGAACAAACACCAAATCTAGCTCAGAAATGGACACAGCACCTCAACAGACCTGTCTCGAAATAAGAGATAGAAATGGCAATCAATATGACAGTATGTTCAACATCACCAACCACCAGGGAAATGCATATCAGTGCCTCAAAGAGATATCACACCACCCCTTCTCAAGATAGTGAAAATGTTTATCTGCCTGTCTTATGTAAGTAGCTGTCTCTCAAGTAACTTTATACCTTCAAGCAAACACCAATTTTGTTTTAACATCACTGAAATCAGATATTTCCAACTCACAAGAAGACACACTACCTTCGAATTCCTTGGTGAGTTGTTGTCTTCAGGATCTCTTTGGGAGGTAGACTCCTTACCTACAAATGCAGTAACAGATCAACTAGTGAGAACATTTATTCACATGGAAACAATTTACATAAAGGCGTGTCTCTCTCTACTCATGAATATTGCAATGAAACGAATATTTCAATGAAATAAAAGGAATAGTAAGGATGAATTTCAGAGGGTTGAAGCTGTTTCAGGAAGAAGTTGGTTATATTAAAAAAAGCCAAAGAATACCCTCAAAATAAATGAATATCCAATTCAGAGCTACTCATTTCTCTTCATTGTATTTTTACAATAAGTTTTGATAGATATGCACTCACTACGTTTGTTATCTTTGTCCAATCCGTGATCAGAGTTCATAATTGGCTGTTGTGGAGCAACTTGAGCGATGAAAAAACGTTTTTTACTCTTCTTACCCGCTACAGCTGACGTTCCTGCCTACAGAACAATAAAATACAAATTCAACACATATATCCAATTTCTCAACCCCTCAGCTACTCATTCAGTGAGACAGGATTTACTATGGGTATCAAGTCATAGGCCCAGTCCTTGAAAAATCTAAGCATATAAACAAAGAGCAGATTCTACCGCATGTTCAGTTAGAGGTAGACATGGGAAAATACAACAGGAAAGTATAAACCACTATTTCTGCCACTGAAGTCAATATAGTTGAAGAAAAGGCAGAAAAGAGAATCCTCAATTCAGTCTTGCAAGGTCAGGAAATACTGCTTGATTTCTGGCCGAGAGTTAGAATTGGGTACAAAATAAGGACAGAAAGCCATCCGAGGTGTGAGGTAGATAGCTCATCTGACTTCTTCACCACTGGGCCAAGAGTTTAGCTCCTAATTCTTCTTTCCTAGGTTCTAAAGGCAAGAGAGTTGGCTGAAGCGAATGTCAAGACAGCCTCAAAACCTCTCCTTTACGTAGCTTCAGATAAGTAAGGGGAAGCTTGTATTACATAGGTACTAGGTATCCCACTCTCTCCCAGATAAGAAATATCGTCAAGAATATATGAACAAACACCAAATCTAGCTCAGAAATGGACACAGCACCTCAACAGACCTGTCTCGAAATAAGAGATAGAAATGGCAATCAATATGACAGTATGTTCAACATCACCAACCACCAGGGAAATGCATATCAATGCCTCAAAGAGATATCACACCACCCCTTCTCAAGATAGCGAAAATGTTTATCTGCCTGTCTTATGTAAGTAGCTGTCTCTCAAGTAACTGTATACCTTCAAGCAAACACCAATTTTGTTTTAACATCACTGAAATCAGATATTTCCAACTCACAAGAAGACACACTACCTTCGAATTCCTTGGTGAGTTGTTGTCTTCAGGATCTCTTTGGGAGGTAGACTCCTTACCTACAAAACAGTAATAGATCAACTAGTGAGAACATTTATTCACATGGAAACAATTTACATAAAGGCGTGTCTCTCTCCACTCATGAATATTGCAATGAAACGAATATTTCAATGAAATAAAAGGAATAGTAAGGATGAATTTCAGAGGGTTGAAGCTGTTTCAGGAAGAAGTTGGTTATATTAAAAAAAGCCAAAGAAAACCCTCAAAATAAATGGATATCCAATTTAGAGCTACTCATTTCTCTTCATTGTATTTTAATATTAAGTTTCGAAGGATAGGCACTCACTACCCATGTTACCATTGTCCAATCCACGATCATAGTTGAACGCATATTCATTAATTGGCTGTTGTGGAGCAACTTGAGTGATGGCGATATCTTTTAAGCCCTTCTTACTCGCTAAGGTTGACATTCCTTCCTACAGGAAGATAAAATACAAATTCAACAAATACACCCAAGTTCTCAACCCCTCAGCCACTCATTCAGGGAGACAGGATTTACTATGTGTGTCATGTCACAGGAACAGTCCTTGCAAAGGTTGAGCATATAAACAAAGAGCAGATTCTACCCCATACTCAGTTAAGCATATACACAAAGAGCAGATTCTACCCCCACGTTCTTTCAGTTGAGCATATAAACAAAGAGCAGATTCTACCCCATGTTCAGCTAGAGGTAGACATGGGAAAATACAACAGGAAAGTATAAACCACTATTTCTGCCACTGAAGTCAATACAATTGAAGAAAAGGCAGAAAAAAGAATCCTCAATTCAGTCTTGCAAGGTCAGGAAATACTGCTTGATTTCTGGCCGAGAGTTAGAATTGGGTACAAAATAAGGACAGAAAGCTATCCGAGGTGTGAGGTAGATAGCTCATCTGACTTCTTCACCACTGGGCCAAGAGTTTAGCTCCTAATTCTTCTTTCCTAGGTTCTAAAGGCAAGAGAGTTGGCTGAAGCGAATGTCAAGACAGCCTCAAAACCTCTCCTTTACGTAGCTTCAGATAAGTAAGGGGAAGCTTGTATTACATAGGTACTAGGTATCCCACTCTCTCCCAGATAAGAAATATCGTCAAGAATATATGAACAAACAACAAATCTAGCTCAGAAATGGACACAGCACCTCAACAGACCTGTCTCGAAATAAGAGATAGAAATGGCAATCAATATGACAGTATGTTCAACATCACCAACCACCAGGGAAATGCATATCAATGCCTCAAAGAGATATCACACCACCCCTTCTCAAGATAGCGAAAATGTTTATCTGCCTGTCTTATGTAAGTAGCTGTCTCTCAAGTAACTTTATACCTTCAAGCAAACACCAATTTTGTTTTAACATCACTGAAATCAGATATTTCCAACTCACAAGAAGACACACTACCTTCGAATTCCTTGGTGAGTTGTTGTCTTCAGGATCTCTTTGGGAGGTAGACTCCTTACCTACAAATGCAGTAACAGATCAACTAGTGAGAACATTTATTCACATGGAAACAATTTACATAAAGGCGTGTCTCTCTCCACTCATGACTATTGCAATGAAATGAATATTTCAATGAAATAAAAGGAATAGTAAGGATGAATTTCAGAGGGTTGAAGCTGTTTCAGGAAGAAGTTGGTTATATTAAAAAAAGCCAAAGAAAACCCTCAACATACATGGATACCCAATTCAGAGCTACTCATTTCTCTTCATTGTATTTTAATAGTAAGTTTTGATAGATATGCACTCACTACGTTTGTTATCTTTGTCCAATGCGTGATCAGAGTCCAGCCCATGTTTATTAATTGGCTGTTGTGGAGCAACTTGAGTGATGAAAAAACATTTTTTACTCTTCTTACCCGCTATAGTTGACGTTCCTTCCTACAGAACAATAAAATACAAATTCAACACATATATCCAATTTCTCAACCCCTCAGCTACTCATTCAGTGAGACAGGATTTACTATGTGTATCAAGTCATAGGCCCAGTCCTTGAAAAATCTAAGCATATACACAAAGAGCAGATTCTACCCCATGTTCAGTTAGAGGTAGACATGGGAAAATAGAACAGAAAAGTATAAATCACTGTTTGCATCGTTGAAGTATATATAGTAGAAGAATAGGCAGAGAAGTGTATCCTCGAGTTAATCTTGGAAGGTCAGCAAATATTGTTTATTTGGGGCTACATTTTGAAACGCAGATCAAATGAAATCAAAAGTAAAACATGAAGGCATTGTATACAGCACAGATGAGGCAAAATATTGTATAGCAATAAACAAGGCAAATTAGCAGCCCCAGATATGGAGCTACAATGAGAACGTCCTTAGTAGAATGGGGTTTAGTGATGTACGGCAGATTTAAGACCTAAGGACCAAACCAATGGTCATGCTGGAATGTGAATTCTCCCCTACTGGAATGGAAATCTACTCAATAAGCAGTTGAACTACATGATTACAAATATGTTTAAGGGATCACTCTGGCAGGAAATACACAATGTACGAAAATGTCTTCAGTTAGGCAATACGAGATTTGATGCACACAGAGAACTTAGAAACCACATTGTGTCAAAGGAAAAAAAAACTAACATTGAACACAAAACAAAAAGTAGAGGGTGGGAGGTTATGGGGGATAGAGAAAATTTGAAATAGGGGTAAGAAACCAGAGTTACATTGAAGGAATGACTTCCTACTGCACTCACCTCCATCGCTGGGAAGAACCAGCACAGCAAAGGAAACGCCCGTGTCTAAGAGACTGACTGAAGGAAATCTTTGGTAAGGAAGTAAGGACAACTCTAAATGGCAATAGGCTCAGAGAGCCAGTACAGAGAGAGGCAAGAACAAAGTTGTGAGGGAATTATGTTTTACAATAACCTAACACACACTGCATGAGCAAACAGAAGAATCCTCAAACCTGCAATCATAAAGTAACACGAAGGAATGAAAAATCTTAGTCATCCTGTTTTGCTCAGTACACATAATATACATGTATTGAAATACCACACTGTGGCCCTTAAATGTGTCATATTTAGTCACTCAAGAATTTTGAAAAGAAATGGGAGTAGACAAATATATAGTCATATATATATAATGCACTGAAATACAATACTGTGACCCATAAATGTGTCATATTTAGTCACTAAAAATTTTTCAAAAGAAATGGGAATAGACAAAATCACTCAGAAAAAGCATATAATAAGAAAATACATATAAATAAATATTTGTAAAACATTAAAATAATATAAGCAAATAATGTAAACATAAACTGAATTCTGAAATTTGGAAAACGAAAATAAAAAGGCAGAACCTATGAGATTTAATTTTTCAATTACATATTTCTACATACGTTTGCAGCATACAAAATTTCATATTTCTACATTTGTTTCAAGAATTTAAAATAAAATTTTAATTTATAAATTGAAATATTACATACATTTCTTACTATAGTGAGAATATGTGCTTCTGGAGTTTATGGTAATAAGCATTTTTCAAATCTGTTCTGTGAAAAAATATAAGAGGCTACAGGAGGACTGTTTTTCAAAAGCCTTGATTGCTTTAAATGTCACAAAACAAAGTCCTGAGAGTCAGTACTCTGATTAAGCAGGTTGAGCTGCCAGACTATTCCTTTTGTATTTTAAAAATTATCTCAGTTTCTCACAAAAAATAAGGAGACAGAAGGAAGCAGGAAGAAGAGAAAATGAAATAGAGTGGCACAGAGAAGTAGGCCTGCAGAGGTGCCATTTGCTAATTCACTCTCCAAAAGCCTGTAAGGGCCAGGGCTCAGCCACACCAATGCTAGGACCTGAGTACTCCAACCATTTTTTTTTCTCAGAACTTTTACTATGGGTTGAGTCAAATGGCAACGTAGTCAGGAAATCTTTCCTTTGTGTAATGTTCAAACAACAGTAAGCAAATACATGTGTAAGGTACATATGCAACTCTTTTCCAACTAGGCAATATCTTCAAAGTTATAAAAATCTCTACAAAGAGATAAATAGGGAGTCATGTTTTAGCTCCTAAAATGTGACATTCATTTCACATTATGTTTTCCACAAGTGACAATATAAATATCACCATGATTATGGCTGTCTCATGGTGTGAGGCTTGCTCATTTCTAATGCTTAGTATGATGAGGTCTGAGAGAGAGAAGAGAGGAAAAAAAAGCTGCATACAGAGGCCCTGCACTCACCTCCACCGCTGGGAAGAACCAGCACAGCAAAGGAAACACCCGGTGTCTAAGAGACTGACTGAAGGAAATCTTTGGTAAGGAAGTAAGGACAACTCTAAATGGCAATAGGCTCAGAGAGCCAGTACAGAGAGAGGCAAGAACAAAGTATACTGTAGCTCCTACGCTGGTGTTATGGCCAGGGGGACTCTATCTCGCTGAGGAAAGTAAGCAGAAGCCTCTAAGATTCCCACCATTATGGCAGAGCAGTGGCCCTAACTACAGAATTCCACCGTCCTCGGTTTTCATTTACCTAGAAAGCTGACTGTGTCTGAGGGCCTTCTTTGCCCTAAGAAAGACTCCATTTTGCCAGTGCCGCGGCTCACTAGGCTAATGCTCTGCCTTGCGGCGCCGGCACACCGGGTTCTAGTCCCGGTCGGGGCGCCGGACTCTGTCCTGGTTGCCCCTGTTCCAGGCCAGCCCTCTGCTGTGGCCAGGGAGTGCAGTGGAGGATGGCCCAAGTCCTTGGGCCCTGCACCCCATGGGGGACCAGGAAAAGCACCTGGCTCCTGGCTCCTGCCATCGGATCAGCGCGGTGCGCCGGCCGCAGCGTGCCGGCCGCGGCGGCCATTGGAGGGTGAACCAACGGCAAAGGAAGACCTTTCTCTCTGTCTCTCTCTCTCACTGTCCACTCTGCCTGTCAAAAAAAAAAAAAAAGAAAAGAAAAGAAAAAGAAAGACTCCATTTTGCCTCTTTCCAAATCCCCAGACCCAAGTGGTTGCAGCAACACTGCGGCTATCCCTTATTCTGTCTTGGGGACAGCAAGTACCCCTGATGCTACCAGCAGTCCCCAGATTCCACCTGCCACCTGCCCCTGCCCACAGCCAGAGCCAGGCTGCTTTACAGGGCAGACAGCAGGTCCCTGCCTATACGGCTGAATTGCTGGGCACAGCTTCAGGGCTCTGTCTTCTGCCTGTTTTTAAAAAGACAGAAGAAACAAGCACTCCATTCTAGATTTGAACATCACTTAGTGCTTATATTTAAAATATCATAACAAGAGACAGTACCTCAGGGTCTGAAGTTGATTCTTTAGCTTCATCTTCTGCTCCTAAAGTAAACACCATTTCTATAAGAGGTAGTCATAGATCTGATAATAAACGTTATTATGAATTCTAAATACACATACACAGATGGGATCAGGCGCATTCAGGGTGTATGGCCATAGATTATCTTCCAGAGTGGCTATACTATTTTGCATATGGAAGAGCAATGAATGAGTATCCCTATTGCTCTATTTCCTTATCTGCAATCACTGTTGTCACTGTTTTGAAATCCCTAGCAGTTCATGATGTTCAGAATCACTTCTTCAGTTCACTTGCCATCTGTTTATCTTCCATAGGAAGGTGTTTGTTCCGCTATTTTTCCTATTTTTAAGCCTGTTTGGTATTTTTTAAATTTAGCTTTAAGAGTTCTCTAAACGGTTTGGATAATAGCTGTGTCTTTGTTGAAATATATCTTATACAAATATTCTTTCCAGGTTATTTATTATACCCTTGGTGGTATATTGGAAGAACTAAAATTTTGTTTCTTATCACTATTCACTTTTCATGAACATCAATATACTTGCAGAAACTGAGAATAACTGGTCTTTACAACTTGTTCACCCTGAAGATGCTTATGCAAATCTCATCCGTGGCTGTCATACATTTTGTTACCTTAAGGGAATGAACACTGTCACTTACGGTAAGCTAGAAAGGTATAAAACTTATCTTACACTGCCTGCTTTCAGTTTATAGACCAAGCTGTGTCATGCCAAAATGCAATCTTAATTCTTCAGCATAGAAATCACTTTAAAAGGCCTGTTGTTTCCAGCACCCTAAAATAATACCAAGAATCCCTAGAACCATCTGAAATAAAGTTGCATTTATCAATTTAAAAAATATGCTAATTTATATTTTAATTTAACTCTGGATTTTCTAGTCATTAAATTGATCTGTTCTACTATTTCTATGCTTATCCCCATAGATTTACTCTATGATTCAGTCCTGAGAAAAGCAAATTTTCTTGTTGTGCTTTTCTTCCTCAAAATGTTCCAGTCAAAATGTTCCAGTAAATGTACATACATTAAAGCCTCATTAGAGCAAATATAAATACACACACACACATCTCCATGAGTAATTCAACAATATGTAAAAGTAACAGCAAGAAAGAATTCCAAAGGGTTGACGAAGTTTCAGGAAGAAGAATTTGTTCCTATGAAGAAAGATATTAAAAAAAAAACAATAAAATACATTGGGTAGCATATTTATGGCTTCACATTAAACTTCATACAATAACATTTAAATAGAAGGTTTTCATACACTGGATGGAACTGGAAATCACTATCCTAGAGAAATAAGCCAGTCACACAAAACCAAATCTCACATGTTTTATATATGGAAGCTATAGAAAGTACAAAAAGTGCATGGATACCGTATTATTTGGTCTATAATCATATTGTCTTTAATGGATTTCATCAATACATCCTTCTTTCCTCACTGTTAGCATTGTGATGAATCCCACATTTTTCTTACATTAATATTACTGTTTTTGAGAAAAATGTATATAAGTGCACATATATAATATATCAAATGTTAAAAAATGTTCAATTTTAAAATTTACAAAAGAAATTTTGATCCACTTACCACATTTGTTATCTTCATGGACTCCATGAACACGAGTTATTCTGTCGTTATTGGGTTGCTCTTCTGGTGCACTGTGAATGATGGCAGTTGTATGTCCTGGAATTAAGTCTTTCTATAGGAAAAAAAAACACAACCTCAGCAAGCATGTTCACTCAGTTGTCCCACCACCCATTCACTCACTAAGACATTTATTCTGTAAATCAAAGCATAGGCACTGTCCTAGGAAAAGAAGAATATGTCCACGGAAGGCACTTACTGCAGTACGTTAAAGTGGGAGTAGACATAGAGTCAACAAAAACTCGGAGCAAGAAAATTAATTCCATAATAGAGCATTTTACCTTGGCAAATGAATTGAGGCCTTCCTCATATGATATAAGCAGTTCATGATTAACATCAGGTATTTCCAAAAGCCTTGTGCACAAAAATATATAAGAAAAATAGTTAAATATTTTCTATAAAAAATCAGGGGAAACATCAACTAAACTTCTGCTAAATGGTATTTTTTGGTACAATGAAAATTTGACTCTTGTTTTAGAAAAACTTTTCATCATCTATTTCTGCCTACACTACTCTCACCCCACTGAAATATTTGGTGAAGATAATACATCCCATAAAAAATCTGTGAACATCAATATACTAGCAGAAACTTTACAACTTGTTCACCCTGAAGATGCTTATGCAAATTTCATCCGTGGCTGCCATACATTTCATTACCTCAAGGCAATGAACACTGTCACCTATGGTAAGCGAGAAAGGTATATAACTTATCTTACACTGCCTGCTTTCAGTTTATAGACCGAGCTGTGTCATGCCAAAATGCAATCTTAATTCTTCAGCACAGAAATCACTTTAAAAGGCCTGTTGTTTCCAGCACCTTAAAATAATACCAAGAATCCCTAGAACCATCTGAAATATTTGAAAGCTAAAGATATATACATCACAGAACAAATGTGTAGGTTGTTGTTGGAAATGCCGTTCTCAGAAATATTAAGATGTTCAGTGATTTTCCCAAATAAGTGTTGCTGTTTCCTCATTCAGGTAAACGTAAACCAGTAAGACTATAGGTGCTTATGTACTTAGAAGGGAGACGCTGCTGAGAAGAGTCATGGTACCTGTACTTTTGTTTCTGTTAATGGTATCTAAATATCTTGCCTCCTATGAGCTCCTAACCCCAAATAACTCTTCTGGTGTCAAGCACAGTGATGTGGTTTGGATAAGAGTTCAGATATCAACAAAAGGCCCATGTATTTGTGGCTAGATTGCAAAGTCTTATTTAATGGATAAATGGTAATGGTCAATGGATTAAAAGTAGAAACAATGCAACTATGATGTCTAGGTGTTGGGCCTAAAGGAGGTCTTTAGGTCACCGGGGGCTTGTATTGTGAATGAAGTTCTCATGAGAGCAGTGAACTATACAACTGTTCTCTCTGCTGCTGGGTGCACCGTGTTATTCTCCCTTTGTATTCATTCCACCAACCAACATCCTCATCATGCTGCCACCTGTTCTTGGACTGTGAATCTCAAAACTTTATGCCAAAATAAATCCTATTCCTCTGTATGTTAGCCAACAGATATTTTTTCTGTAAGTAACAAAAAGCTTACAAACACATACAACTTCAAACATTAACGTATTAAACCTACAAAGCACAGAACCCTGAGAAAAGAGTGGACTCAAACATACAACTGTATTTTTTTATTTTCTTTTATTATTTTTTTTATTTTTTGACAGGCAGAGTGGACAGTTTTTTGACAGGCAGAGTGGACAGTGAGAGAGAGAGACAGAGAGAAAGGTCTTCCTTTGCCATTGGTTCACCCTCCAATGGCCGCCGCGGCTGGCGTGCTGCGGCCGGCGCACCGCGCTGATCCGATGGCAGGAGCCAGGTGCTTCTCCTGGTCTCCCATGGGGTGTAGGGCCCAAGCACTTGGGCCATCCTCCACTGCACTCCCTGGCCACAGCAGAGAGCTGGCCTGGAAGAGGGGCAACCAGGACAGAATCCGGCGCCGCAAGGCGGAGGATTAGCCTAGTGAGCCGCAGCACCGGCCCAAACATACAATTGTAGGCACTACTTCCCTCTTCTAAAAAACAAGCTACATTGAGGCTCAGTCATCTTGCCACAGCAAGACACACGTAGCTCTGTAGGGTTTATCAGCTAATCCTATCCCCCTCTTACCAAATACATACCAGGGAGAGACATCAGAAAATGGAAAGAAGAGGTGGGCATGAGAGGACATCTGCCCTGGACCAAGTTCTTTGCAGATCATCCACCTCCAGGCCCCTAGTGCTCAAGGGAGACTAGATTACCTACCCCTCTGAGTGTGGGGGACCATGAAGTAGATGATATAGCATTACAGTCTTATCTGATATGGACTCTTCCCAGTGACTCTAAAAATCCACCTGTGGTGCAAGCATCCCGTTGGGCACTGGCTCATGTTGCAGCTACTCTTTCCAACTGTCTGCTTATGGCCTGGGAAAGCAACGGAAAATAGCCCAAGTCCTTGGGTCCCTGCACTCATGTGAGAGCCAGGAAGAAGCTCATTCCTGGCTTTGGATTAGCTCAGCTCCAGCCATTGCAGCTATTTGGGGATGAACCATGGATGGAAGATATATATATATTCATATACATATATATACACACACACATATATATATATGGCAGGATTTCTTTATTGATTCATCAGTTGATGAGCATCTAGTTTGATTCCATATATTAGCCATTGTAAATTCAGAATTTATCTGAATTGGACCTGTATCTTGATGCCACTATTGTATAAGTCTGTATCCATCCATGCTAAAGGGTAAGAGAATCCATTTGGGAGTAAGGCAGGCTGATATGGGTCAGTTAATTATTTTACTACAGGTTCATAGGCCAATCAATCAACCCCTCAGCACTATAGTTGCCTAAATAGTAGGAAATAAACTACATTAACACATACATTGAAAACTGGTTGGACAATTATGACAAGCAACAAATGTTAAGTACACAATATCCATCCAGCCCAGAGGAGAATACATAATGCATTTCTTTGCTTTCCATTAGTTAACAAATGGTTTTAAAAATCATTAAACCCTACCTTTTTCTATATTCTTTAGAATGCTCATCATCTATTAAAGAAAAGTAAATACATTTTAAATTAAATCAATGATAGAATAATATAGAATGTTATAATATATAGTACATTGTTAAAAATTACAGCTTTGGAGCCAGGTGTTTGACACAGAAGTTATGATGCTTCTTAGATGCTCACATCATACTGGAGTGCCTGGGTTTGGGTCTCAGCTTTGCTTTCAAACTGAGCTCTCAGCGTACCCTGAGAGGCAGGAGGTTATGGCTTAAGCAATTGGGTCTTTGTGACCCATCTGAGTCCTGCTTTTGTCTGGCCCAGCCCCAGATATTGCCGGAATTTAGGGAGAAATTATCAGAGAAGGAAATAACACTCTCTACTGGCTATCTATAGCTCTGCATCTCTACATTTCACATAAACTGAAAATAAAAATTAAAAGAAAAGATGCTTTTGATCATACTTACAAGTTATAGCAGAGTGATTATTAACTACATCATTGATAGCCATTATGGAACCTTACTTCTGCTACTTTGAATTTATCAATGTAAAGTGAATAATACAATTAATTAAGATGATATGGAAAACATATGCTCTATACAAAGACTGTAATCCAACTGAGAGACAATTGTATCACTAATAGAATAAGTATAAAAGATTGTAGGGTCCCAGTGCTATGTCACAGCAGATAAAGTCACGGCCTACAGTGCTGGCCTCCCTCATGGTTTCCAGTCCAAGTCTTGGCTGCTCCACTTCCAATCCAGCTTCCTGTTAACGGGTCTAGGAAATCAGCAATAGATGTCCCAAGTTCTTGGCCATGTAACCATGTGTGAGTAGCTGAGTTTGATTACCAACTCCATGTTCTGACTTCAGTTTGCTGCCTGTGCAAACTCACAGAGGCAGTGAGGCTCAAGTAATCAAGCTCCTCCCAAGCACGTGGAAGACCTAGATGGAGTTCCTGACTCCTGTCTATGGCTTCCATCCAAACGAGGCCATTGTGAGCATTTGGAGGACAAATTGGTAGATGGCAGCTTTGTTCTGTAAGTCTCCATGCCTCTCAGACACAGACATACACACACACACACATATACAGATATGTATCTTTTTCTAAATTACACAAATGACACAAAGAGATAAAGGGCCACAATTAGTGATTTTCTTCAAATAATAGTGCTTCAGATTATAAATATCCTACAATAAACCTCTAAAATTTCTAAATACTTGATTCCTAAGAAAGATTAAGAAAAACAGACATATAATTAATCATTGACTTATCTGTAACTGCTCTTCTGTGATCAACTACTTCTTATGTTTATATTTTTTTTCCTATGTTGGGACTAGCTGGAGAAGTTTTACCTGGATTTCTATTTACAATCTTCTCAAGTGCAGCATTTTCTCGAAACAACGAAATGAGTTGGTAATTTTGCCTATGTATAAGAATGAATAAAATTGTTTCAGTATTGATAAGGACAACTATCAAATGTATCAAATCCTTAGAATATTTCTGATAGTTCAAAGTTAGTACCAGAACTTACATTATGCCAACGCACTTCATAATTATATGTTCTACAATATAATTTTCTTAAACTTATTGTTAAGATGAAAAACAGTAAGGTGAAGAAGTCCTGAATTAAAGGTGGTATAACTCAATAAAATTAACTAAAATTAGCAGGACATAATAAGGTATCATAAACTCAGAAGACTCAGCTCTGTAGCCTCTGTAGCCAACAGGTATGGGCAAGTCAGAGTAAGGATTTTCCTATGTCTTCACTAGTAGTTATAGAAATTTAATGATTTAATGCGTTAATATATAAAATATATAAATGTTCAATGAAATCAAGCAATGGAATACTTTGTTCTTGAAATTTACTACTGAAACTATTTTGGAATCCCAAAGAAAACCTGTAGTGTGTTTTTTCACTGTTCAGGCTACAGGAAATGTCATTAGTTTCTCATTCTGGCTATTAGTTACTCCATACAGCTGTAACCATAGATACCTCATCTACTTAACATATTGCAGCTACATGCATTTGTAAATATATCACTTCACTAAGTTAGGTAACATAATTGATGTGATCATTCACACTAAGGGTACAAAACGAAGAGCTGTCAAGTACTGGGGCAGACTATTACTATTCCTTTCAAGGATTCAAACTCTGCACCAGTTGATATTTGCTAGTATGATGCTTAACGTCCCTGTTCAACTCCACCTAACTTGGAAGATCAAACTGCACTTTATTACATGGTTTCTGAGAAGTTATGCATGGGGCTTAGCTCACTTAAATCCATATAACATACTTTAGATTCAGAGAATTCTCAAGAATGGCTTGTTGTGAGGCAGAATTTAAAACTACTTTGAAAATCTGATATAAAATGCACATAATTTAGATTTCCATCTTCACTATTACAGCAAACAAATCACCTTAGGTCCAACACATACTCTGGAGCACAGAAACATACGGGACATTCCACAAACCAAGAACATATGTGCCCAGACTATAAAGAAGCCTTAGGGTACATATCTGGTGCAAAACATTAAATAAACTCTCATCTTTTCCTACATTATCTGAATTTGTCTGACAACAGAATGGTACCAAGTAGAAACTACTAGCAAAGTCAAGAACCTTATAAAGAACACGTCATGAAGGTTTAAGGCTAAGAAGTAGATGCCACCTGAGGTTCTCATAAATAGCCTATTTTTGGCTACATACATGCCAAAACCTAGGAAGCCAGAGTGGGGTGTTAATACTTTGTGGACAGTGACTGAGTATATAGGCATATGTCAGTCAACAAATAGACATTTTAATCTCAGGATATAAGTGCACATCACCACGAAGACTGGGGATCTGGATCAGTAAAAGAATCCTGGTAACAAAGGAAGCAATAAAAAATAAGAATTATTAGAACCCCATCTCTCTGATGAAGGAAGATTGCCTTGAGAACCTTATCTCTCTGATGAAGGAAGATTGCCTTGTCAGGCTTATGGAACTTCCTGGCTTCTTGTAAAACTCAAGAAAAAGAATTTAAGAGGCAGCTCCCAGGACAAAATATGAAATTTCCTGCTAATCTGGACACTGAAGGCCTAACCAACTAAGTAGAACTAGGAAGGCGTGACACTGTTTGGAGGGTCATGGCAGGGGTTGTATTTGAAATGATATGGATAATGTGGGCAGTCACAGGGATAAAGACCTTCAAATCTCTGAGATAAAGAATTTGTACCCATCTGTACTTCTAACTAGCCGACCTTTCTCTTTGGTTTCTTTTTGTTTTAAAGATTTATTTTACTTGAAAGTCAGAGTTACACAGAGACAGGAGAAGCACTAGGAGGAGGAGGTGGGAGGGGGAGAGGGAGGAGGAGGAAGAGGGGGAGGGGGAGGGGGAGAGGGAGGAGCAGTTGGCTGCAATGGCCAGAGCTGCACCGATTTGAAGCCAGGATCCAGGAGCTTCTTCTGGGATTCTCATGCGGGTGCAGGGGCCCAAGGACTTGGGCCATCTTCTACTGCTTTCCCAGGCCATAGCAGAGAACTGGATCGGAAGTGGAGCAGCCAGGAATCAAACTGGCGCCCATATGGGATGCCAACACTTCAGGTGGCAGCTTTACCCTCTACATCACAGCACCTGCCCCTCTGTTTAGTTTCTGACTGTTGAAGTAAAGGGACTCACTGCCATTCCAAAAACTGTGAGAGCTAAGTCATCTGAAAACATGAAGTACTTACACCTCAACTTCATGTTGATTACAATGTTAGTGTAAACACTTACATATTACGTTTTTGAAGAGCATAATCCCTAGCAGAATGTCCAGCAATGTCTTCAGAAAGCACATCAACCCCTAGTTCAAGAAGCATGTGTACTATGTTTTCCGTACTATACCGTCCCGCAAACATGAGGGATGTTCTAAAATAACAGAAAGAGAACTTCATTAAAAACTTCAATGAGGCTACTCAAACAGCTGAGTGGCTCTATTTTACCAAGTTAATATCTTGCCTATGTATATGTGATCATTTACTTGTATTAATGGACATAAGCATCTTGGAATATCAAATGCTCATCTCCAGAAATTATCTCCAGGCTTAAAGAGAAAGAAACAAAATAAAGCCTCTTGTCTAACTGGGGTATTCCATAGAAGTTACTAATTTGAAGTCTTTAAGGGATAGTAACACCATTGAGATCACTTGTTTAAATCAGGCAGTTTTAAGTGAAGAATTCACTCTTACTTCCCCAGTTTTAAATATTAAATATATCCCAGTCAGGTAAGTAAAAGCTATCTGAAAGCATAAAGCTCTTATATTATATAGCAATAATAGTCACAGCAGTTTCAGTTAGCAATGGTGACAACCACGTGTCAGCTACTGAATTACATTTTATATATGACATTATATACAACTACATCTGAAAGACAGGATACATTACTATCCCACTTTCACTTCAGGTTCGATTTAATAGTTAATGTTCCCAAGGTTGCACACCCAACAGGTTGGACATCTGAGAATTAAGCCTTGTGTTATATGTCTTTTCTCTTTCTCATTTATTATTTGTCATCATCAAAGGAAAAGCTTATCTAAGTAAATACATTTCTTCCCTCTTCCCATACTAATTACAAATAAAATTATAAGGATCAGGCATTTAATCTTGGTATTATGACACCAATTAAGAAGTCCCCTTCCCATATCAGACTACCTGGTTTGACTCCCAGATTCATCTTCTATGTGTAGCCTCCTACTAATACAGACCCCGGAAGACATTAGTTATATTCAGCTTAGATAATTAGATTCCTGCAACTACATGAAAGTCTTTATTGCATTCTTAGCTCCAAGTTTCAATCTGGCCCAGCCTGAACTGTTGCAGGCATTTGAGCAGTGAAACTGAAGTGAGAGAGTTCTAATTCTCTCTCTGTGTGTTTCTCTAATCTCTCTCTCATAGAATTTTTTAAAAACCATGCTTTTAAAAATATCAAATATCAAAATAAAGCAGAATGAAAAAAACGATAAAATCATACTATCTGCTAATAACCACCTACAGTCGCTTAAGTATAACTTAACATCAATATACTTTGAAGAAAGAAATTAACAAAAAAAAAGTCAGCAAAAAGACAAAATGATTTTCAATTCCTATTTATGTATACTACAGCATTTTTAAAAGTAGAGTATGTGGGCGCTAGATTCTGTCCCGGTTGCCCCTCTTCCAGGCCAGCTCTCTACTGTGGCCCAGGAGTGCAGTGGAGGATGGCCCAAGTGCTTGGGCCCTGCACCCCATGGGAGACCAGGAGAAGCACCTGGCTCCTGGCTTTGGATCAGCGCCTTGCGCCTGTGGCCATTAGAGGGTGAACCAACGGCAAAGGAAGACCTTTCTCTCTGTCTCTCTCTCTCACTGTCCACTCTGCCTGTCAAAAAAAAAAAGTAGAGTACGTAGGAAAAAAAGATTTCTTTAAGATTATTTATTTATTTATTATTGACAGAGTTGGACAGTGAGAAAGAGACAGAGAGAAAGGTCTTCCCTCCGTCGGTGGAAAAATTTTAAAAATATTACAGAATGTTTAAGAAGCTCAATAGTGACTCATATTTATTAAAACAGTAAAACTAAAATGAATAACCTTTCATTAATATCAGACTATACAACCAAAAATCAGATTACTATTAAAATATATCAGTCACTATCATAAGAGAATATGACCATTCCTATGTAGCTCCTTGTGTTGGCCAGTATGCATAATTGCTTTCCTACCAGATAGATTTTTATTGTTACTTTTCATTGTATCTCAATAATATACTAACATTTTATTTCATATTTCTGACTTGAATCACTTTATAACTCATAAACATCACTGAGTTTAAAATATAGAATGAAATAATTTACCTGTTTAGATTATCAACTGCAAAAACATCTGCATTCTGTAATATTAAAAATTTAACCATAGTTTCTTGGTTTTGTTGAATAGCCACTAACAGTGGTGTGAGGCCAGTCTGTAAAAAATGATTCACAATTCACATTATTACATATTTCTCAACAGAACTGAACATATTTCAGATGACAATGCAAACTCGGACATCAAATGTAGAAGGTAAATTAAAGGAGGCTCTTTCTTCCCACCCTGTGCTTCCACATGTGCTGCACATTCCTCTTAAAACTCTCCTCTCCACTGCCTCATTGCATGGAACCTACTCATCACCAAGACTCACTCCAAACAATTGCATTCCAGGGTTCACTGCTTCCATCAAAACACTCACCATGGAATATTACAATTATTTGATTGCACACAATAAAAACACAAGGTCCTCTGGAAGGCAAGGGCTACATGTTTTACCTCTGTAGCCCTAAACCCTAAGACATAGTAGTTAATATTTCAAGCATTCTTATTCAACTGATGACCTAAATTATTGTCTCAAAAATAGTGTTTCTCAATACATATTTCCAAGAACATTTACTTTTGCACAAATTATATACTGTCCACCAACAGAAAAATGTCATGATCATCTGTTTGAGAAATATAACAAAGCCATGCATCCTGTGTTCCCCTAGGTGGGGAGAGAAGCAAACTGGAGGGTATCTGCCTTTTAAAAATAGGAAACCTTCTGTACAGCATACAACTCAGTAATCTGAGCTCAAGGATCCCTGATTGGAATCCTTCAGATAATCCTGACAGTCAGAGGTGTGCATCAGTCTCCCAAATTTTGTATTTTGAAACAATTTACAGAGGCAAACTACACACATCTCTGCACCATGTTCAGTCGATTCCTTTGAGTCTTTGTATCAGCTGGCAATGCATTTCCAAATGATTTTGTATAAAGCAGGTATTAACATGTAATATCTTCACTTTTCTTAGCATCACCTAATTCACAAAAAGAAAGATCAGGCCCACTATGTAGTCAACAGGGCACACCCAATATACTATTTTCCAACAGTTAAATAACCATCCATTTGTATTTAAATCTGACAGGTTTTAGTCAAATGGATATTTGAGATACAGGAATGTTGAAACTGAACTATTAAAAGAATGTCCATCCAAATATTCTTAACACTACCATGGCTTTCAATTTTAAGTCTGCCATAGTGATTATGTGTCAGCGCTCCATGAATTCAACACAACAAGATTTGATTGTGTATCATAAAGCTTCAATGAGGAAAAAGGTTCATAATTTGCTATAATTCTAACCATAAAGCCCTGCTTGCAATATACATTTCTTTGTAAAACTATCCGTAAGTGTTATTCTGTAGGCTGAGAATTATTAGTATTATCTCTTTGAATTTATAACTACAAAGGAAAAGAAAGACAGATAAAATCAGAGGTTAGTATTGTTCGAATGTAGCATCCATCAAACTCTAACTCTTCTCAAGATTCTTAATAGTTTTTGAGACCTAAGAACTTACACATTACAATTAACAGTTTGGTGGTTCTTAACAAGGGTTTTGTCAGACTCTCAGAGATAGGTTTTTTTTTAATTTATTTTTATTTTTATTTATTTATTTTTTTTTGACAGGCAGAGTGGACAGTGAGAGAGAGAGACAGAGAGAAAGGTCTTCCTTTTGCCGTTGGTTCACCCTCCAATGGCCGCCGCGGCCGGCGCGCTGCGGCCGGCGCACCGCGCTGATCCGATGGCAGGAGCCAGGAGCCAGGTGCTTTTCCTGGTATCCCATGGGGTGCAGGGCCCAAGGACTTGGGCCATCCTCCACTGCACTCCCTGGCCACAGCAGAGGGCTGGCCTGGAAGAGGGGCAACTGGGACAGAATCCGGCGCCCCGACCGGGACTAGAACCCGGTGTGCCGGCGCCGCTAGGCGGAGGATTAGCCTAGTGAGCCACGGCGCCGGCCAAGAGAGATAGGTTTTTAAGTATACATGTAAAGACGTAGTAAGATTTACTGAAATAAAATACTCTTGGAGAGACTAACTAGACTTGTAAGTTTTTCCAGGTCATTCTGATATACAACTCCAGCCGAGAACTGGTGCAGCAGACAACCACCACTTCCATCTCTCCTCTCACACACATCATTTGGAGACTTGACCAAAACGAGGAATGAGGAAGAGACACACACACTGAACATCCCATTTCATTTTTCTTGAGTAGGAATAAATCAACTAACAGTAAACTCAAAGTCCAACTTAGATTTATTTGTAGGATCCTTTTCTTCTACTTTCCCACAAAGACATTCTCTATTTGAGAGCTGAGTTTAGACACTTTTCCTCAGCAGCTCTTCCTACCATAATAAAATGTCAATCATTTGTTCTTCCCTCTTGTTTTCTACATTCATCACCACCTAGTCACTCCAAATATGGTTCCCCAAAGCAAACTTACAACTTATTAATGATATTAATGAAAGTACAAGTTATTATACTTTCAATCAAAGAATACTTGGTCTACACAAAACTCAACAAAAACAAATCAAAAATCCCATCTCCGTATTTTCCCTCAATTACCTAATTTACAAATGTTTCATTCTTCTATCCTTTTCTCTTGCAAAGTTTCCCAGTTAACCCTTGACACTCTAAGGTAACTTTTATATAAATAAACTTATTTAGGAAATGGACAGCAACAGCCATATTTCTGTTTACTACAACATGCTTTCTTCTTGAGTTTTAAGCAAAAGCCTTTGTCAAGACAAAATTGGACTTCTCCTGTTTTTGCACCGCTTAGAAAAAAGTAACTGGGAAAATATCCTTGAAAATATGTCTGACCTTTAACAAATTCAGTGCTTTCATAAATACTGGCCATAAATGCCTCTCAGTCTGTCCTTTCCAGTATTTCTGCAATGGTATCAATATTTAAACTTAAATCTGGGACAGTTTTCATAAAATATCTTCATTCGATGCAGCTGGTACTCCCAAATATGAGAAACTGCTTCTATACATGTCAATCTTTTAAAAATGTATTTCCAATAGTCTAAACATTAAGTTAGATGATCCATACCTTATTTTTCTTTTCGATATCTGCATTGCTGGAAAGCAGCTTTTCGGCTATTCTTATATTTTCTCCGTAGGCCACATAGTGGAGAGCAGTGTTGCCAATTTCATCCTCAATATTTGGATCAGCCCCATGATCCAGTAAGAGTGTAGCACAGTTCTCAGCGGGACACTGTACAGCCTGCCAGTAATACACCAATCATAAATTGTAACTTCTAGGAATTCAAAGAAAAACTCCCCATCCCAATGGTTTCACCAGTTAGTCATATATAAATAAGATAAATTCATTTTTATTCTAAGTATATAAACCAAGCCCTTCCTATACTGGGATGGTTGGGCACTAAATACCTTTATCAGCGGTGTTGCAGCCCTTTTATCTTGCGGATCAAGTAGACATCTTTGGCTTATGAGGAAAGCTACCATGTCTTGGTGGCCTTTTGCACAGGCCCAGTGCAGAGCGGTCCTATAGGAAATTAGATTGCACAATCACAAAACAGGCCATTTCTCATATAATCGTAAGAATAAAATAGCATATTCCCCTGCCCTCAAAACAAATACTTTTCTGATGAACAAAGAACTTTATCATCTCTTCTTGTCACTAAACTAATGAAAGAGAAGCCTATTAAAGAAAAATAACATGATCATTACATTAACCACAGCTTGGTTAAATCCTATTTTAAGTTATGACTAGGACTTTGAGTATCTCAATTTCCTGATTAAAAGAATGGGGAGAAAAAGAGTAGTTGTCTCAGTTTACCATTGTGATGCTTCAATGAAAATCTATGTAAAATATTTAGAACGGTTGCTGACACAACTAACAGCTCAGTAATTGTCAGACGCAGTCATTACTAATACCACGACTTAAAAACAGCATTTTAATTGAGTAAGATAATATAATTATCCTGACTTTCCATATATCCTTGAAGCATTAGAGAAAATATAATTCACTGACTCTGAATATGCTCAATGCCTCTCACTTTATCATTTCTCACATTGAAGTGCTGCTTATACTAATACCACGACTTAAAAACAGCATTTTAATTGAGTAAGATAATATAATTATCCTGACTTTCCATATATCCTTGAAGCATTAGAGAAAATATTATAATTCACTGACTCTGAATATGCTCAATGCCTCTCACTTTATCATTTCTCACATTGAAGTGCTGCTTATCATAATTCATTACTTTTCCCACTGTAATTGGCAGCATTTAAAAATTTAGCATCTATTGAGATAATTCAATGGTTCTATGGTTTTGTTCTTTGATTTCTTAAGGTGATGTAGCAGATTTATTAATCTGTATATGTCAAAATGTCTGTGTACATCAGGGATAAATCCCATTTCATCTGGGTGAAGGATTTTATTAGATGTGTTGTTGGATTCCATTAGCTAGAATTTGTTAAGGATTTTTATCTGTGTTAATCAGTGACACTGGTCTATAGCTGTCTTTCTTGGTTGTTAACTTTTTATCCTGGTTTTGGAATAAAGTGATATAGACATTTGGACCAATGGAAGAGATTAGAGAGCTTAGAAATTCATCTATGCATCTACCATCAACTGATCTTTGACAAATGTGCTACAATCACTCCCTGGGGAAAGGACAGTCTCTTCATCAACTGGTGCTGCGGAAATTCGATCTCTGCATGCGGAAGTAGGAAACAAGATCCATACTTTTTAGCTTTCACAAAAAAAAAAAAAAACTCAGTGGTTCAGGGATCTAAACCTAGGACTCAGAACCAGTACAATGATTAGAAAAAAGCATAGGGGAAACACCATAATTCATTGGCATAGTCAGGGACTTCTTGGATTAGACATCAGAAGCACAGGGAATAAAGGCAAAAAAAGACAAATGGAGTTAAATCAAGATAAGAAGCTTCTCCACAGTGAAGAAAACACTCAACAAAGTAAAGAGGCAATCAACAGAGTGGGAGAAAACACTGCAAACTATACATTGGATAAAGGAATAACATCCAAAATACACATGAAGTTCAAGAAACTCAACAACAACAAAACAGAAAATACAGTTAAGAAGTGGGCAGAAAATTTAACAGACATTTTTCAAAGCATGAAATACAAATGGACAACAAACACATGAAAAAATGCTCAGGATCACTAGGCATCAGGGAAATGCCAATGAATTCCACACTCACCCTAGTTAGAATTGTGTTCATCCAAAAATCAAAAAACATAAAGAATGCTCGTGAGAGTGTGGGGAAAAGGTACCCGAATACACTGTTGATGGGAACGTAAATTAGCATAACTATTATGGAAGAGAGTAGGAAAAAAAATTTAAAAATAGATCTGCGATATGACCCAGCTATTCCACTCCAGAGAATTTACCCAAAGGAAGTAAAGTAAGCATATGCAAGAGTTATCTGTAACCCAATGTTTATAGTAGCTCAACTCACAATAGCTAAGATATGGAATCAACCCAGATGTACATAAACTGATGACCTGCATAATGTGTGCTATGTAACCATGATGGAATACTATTTAACCATAAAAAATGAAACCCTGTCTTTCACAACAATTTGCAATTGGAGATCATTAAGCTTAGGGAAATACACCAGTCCCAACAAGCAACTAAAACATTTTCCTGGATTTGTGGTAACTGACATACAGAGTACAAAATACGCAGATGAGTGAAATCGACATTTTCAGATTTGATTGCATATAGCCCTTATCTATACTCCTGAGAAAACATTGTTTTTCCACTTACTACTTATTGAATTCTTTATTTAGTGGAAGGTTAAGCTTGTGATTACAAAGTAAAGTGAAACTTGGTCATTGTAAAATTTAAAAGAAAAATAAGAAAGTAGGAGAGAGGGTGGGATTCAGGCAAGGAGGGAGGATAGGGTGGGAAGTACCATTATGTTCTTCACATTGTATATATGAAATACATGAAGTGTGTTATCTTTATATAAAGCGTTTTTATAAAACAGAAAAAATGGCTCATTGATACCTATTGATCACACAATCCATGGTGCCTAACAATAAGTGCAAAATAGCTTATAAAAACACATTTATGGCAACTCCAGCCATATGATTGGCATTAAATATTAGTTTCTGAAAGTTCTATAGTTTGGAAGAGACAAGCTAACATTACAAACATGTTTAAAAACAAAGTAATTCTTTAATCTCAATAATATTAAAAATTTAACTAGAGTGTCTACATCCAATCATTCTGGAAATGACAAGATAAAGAAAATTTCACAAGAATTCAAATACCTATAAGTAACAATTTTAATCACATTTTGTTGGCTAACACAGTCCACAATTTGTGTGTATGTATAAACAAACACTTTTCTCACTTGTTATACAGACTGCCTAGATATTTGTATTTCCACATGCATCTGTGGGACACTCCACCTTTAATGGTCACCTATCAAAGCAATCTATCAATGCGCCATAATTTATAGGTCCATTATGTAGGTTCTTTTTAACATATGCCCATTTTAAGCGCTAATAAGAGAAACAAATGGCATGCCTACTTCTGAAAGTTATTTTAAAAGAATGAAATTGGGCTGGCGCCGCGGCTCACTAGGCTAATCCTCCGCCTAGCGGCGCCAGCACACCGGGTTCTAGTCCCGGTCGGGGCGCCGGATCCTGTCCCGGTTGCCCCTCTTCCAGGCCAGCCCTCTGCTGTGGCCAGGCAGTGCAGTGGAGGATGGCCCAGGTGCTTGGGCCCTGCACCCCATGGGAGACCAGGAAAAGCACCTGGCTCCTGGCTCCTGCCATCGGATCGGCGCGGTGCACCGGCTGCAGCGCGCCGGCCGCGGCGGCCATTGGAGGGTGAACCAACGGCAAAGGAAGACCTTTCTCTCTGTCTCTCTCTCTCTCACTGTCCACTCTGCCTGTCAAAATAAATAAATAAATAAATAAATAAATAAAAAGAATGAAATTGAAGGGTGGAGGGCATATGCATTTTTCAAATATGACACAGGGGGCTGGCACTGTGGTGTAGCAGGTAAAACCACCACCTGCAGTTCCAGCATCCCCTATGGGTGCCAGTTCGAGTCCCAGCTGTACTTCTGATCCAGCTCTCTGCTATGGCCTGGGAAAGCAGCAGAAGATGGTTTGGGTTCGTTGGTCCCTGCTTCCACGTGGGAGACCCACAGGAAGCTCCTGGCTCCTGCCTTAGGACTGGCACAGCTCTAGCCATTGTGGCCAATTGGGAAGTGAACCAGCAGATGGAAAACCTCTCTCTCTCTCTCTCTCCCTACCTCCCTCCCTCCCCCTCTCCCTCTCCTCTCTCTCTGTAACTCTTTCAAGTAAATAAATAAGTCTTTAAAAAAAAGTGACATAGTACTTAGAACCAAATTCTCAATATAAAAAGTCACAAGCAATTTGACCTTTGCCCCTAAAATTGCTATTCATTATCATAAACTATGTGGATGGAAAGTAGCATTTCATTCATCTTTCAAATTAAATTCTTTTTCTCACCAGAGACACTAAATACTGTTTTCTATGTCCATGGATCACTTGTATACCTACAACACATACATATCCCAATTTAAAATTAAGTTCAGTGTTGTTTTCCTGCTTTGCACAGATTTCTGTAAAATGAAGATCCATTTTTTTCACCTGAAATATACTTGTTGTAAAAATGTTTTGAAGATATATTGTTTTGTTTTGTTATTTTCATCCAGATACACAGGAAGTTTTATTTTATTTCCTAAGCAAATATTCAGAGTAATTCCTTAAAAACTGCTTATTTAAAAGGCAGAGTGAAAGAGAGAGGAGGAAAGGTACAAAGAGCTGCCGTTAACTGATTCACTCCCCAAATGCCCACAACAGCCAAGGACAGGCCTGGCAAAAGCTAGGGGGTCAGATCAGGAGCAAAGTGGGCAGGACTCCAACCTGTACTCAGCTATGAGACACCAGCATCCAAAAGCAGTGACTTCACCCACTGTGCTGAACTGTTCACCCCAGGATGTTTGCTTTCGACTTCAGTCTTCATCAAGTCTTTGGCCACTAAAAAATTTATTGCTTCACATTTTTTGTTTTCTTCTGAAATTTTTCTCACATTGTTTATTTACAACTTTTAACTCTACCAGAAATGTAGCTTTGTGTTATAAAAATCTAGTTTTCCTCCGTTAAGAAGTATTTCATGCATAAGTAAACCGTGTTTTCTTATGAATATTAAATGTTACCAGTATCAAGTTCTAAATCTTTGTTTCATATTATGTTTTTGGATTTCCAATGCATTTGCCCTTTCAACTGTCAGAAACCTGATTAATTTCTAAAAACAGCACGTTTACATCAAAAACAGCACCTCATTATTTGCTACATTACAAATGAGTGTTAGCAGAGCAGTAAATGACAAGTAGAACGTGTAACTCGAAATTTTTAAACTTTGATATTTTTGTTTGGCGCATGTAAGACTGATAAAATTAAAGCTCACTTTTTGGTAAACATGAGTTCTCTCATGCCAAGGTTTCCTTCTACAATCCCATGTACAC